ACAGATATGATGTACGACTTTCATATGAATAATTTATACCCTATCAACTAGTTAATACACTATGTGCCCTGAACATATATTAATTGAATTCTTTCCACCAGGCGTGATGATAAGCAATGCATCAAGATTATCAGCATTTAAAAAATAGACAAACAATGGCGTGCCCTCCGAAATTTGTCACGGAGACCCTCTTTAGAACCAATGATTGGTCTGTACAGCAAATTTACAAGAAGCGCAAGATAATTAATCTGTAACAAAGTATATGCAGTACAAACAAAGATAATGCTGTCATGGGTAAATAAACAAACAATTTGGCTTAATGAAGAGCCAGTCGGGTTCGGGGAACAACTGAGTTTCCTTTTTTGAAAATGAAAATTAAAGGGTGGCTTATTACTTCTTTTTTTTTTTTTCTTGTTCTGCATATCATTATTCCCCAATGATGGTTGCCAATACGCCCTCCTAAATAAAGATAAATCGTAAAATCATGTAATTTCCTTACTGTCCATATTAAAAAATTGAGAGTATTCGTTTAAGGACGACATGATATAATAAGGTTTATAGATCTATCATTGAAACAATAGAAAACAACAGTGTTAAATGACGTCACATCAGCGTTCCCTTCTTTTTTTTTTGGTGAGTTTACAAAAGTTTTTTTTTTTTTCGTTTTTTTTTTTTTTTTTTTTTAACGACGCTCGGTGCACTTTTTAATCCTAACCCTTTTAAATCGCACCAACCTGTACATTAGCAAAGTGAGTGGAAAGAGATGTAATTAAGGGAGAGAATGTGTAAACTGACATGGAGATGGTGTAAAGCCAATTTAGGTCTAGCTAGGATATGCATCATTAGAAAAAAAAAAATTATATAACTAATGAATAGAACACCAAACACAACCGATAAACCCACTAACGCACAACCAGTGTTCAACTACGCTCAGGCTGCAAAGAGAAGCTCACAAAACTTGGAATCACAAAAACCCAAACTTAATGAATCAAAACCTGCTGAAGCTGAAGCTGTTAAGGTAGAAGCACCTGCTGTGGCCAAAAACACGTAAGTTGCAACTACTTTGTGTGATCACCATTTATTTATTTTTGACATTGCTTGTCTCGAAAAAAAAAAGTATTTGGTCCCATGACTTCAAAAATAAGTAAATACTGATTCAACTGAAACTAACTCTCTTCTATTTTTTTATTTTATTTTAACAGAGAATCTTCTACTGATAAAGGTAACAACCTTCGATAAACCAAATTAAATTGCTTGATTCTTATATTTTTTTTTTATAATTAGCATCCACCCAAACTGTTGAAGAACCTGCTTCCAAGGAAACTGAAGGTTCTGCCGTAAGTTATACTGTTCCATGTCTATTATGATACGGTGTATCTAACCTTATGTGTATAGCGTCGGGATTCAACAAACTCCAACAATTCTGGATCAGAGCCTCAATATGCTCGTCATTACAATCCTCGTCACAACAATGGAGGAAAGCAACCCAACTTTGTTCCCCATCATGCTAAGAAGCCCATGTCTCCTCATATGAGCTCTGCCACTCCCGCAGCCAACACCAACAATGGAAGTTGGCAAAACAGTACCAACCAATTTGTATGTTTTTTTTTTTTTTTTTTTTTTTTTTTTTAGAAATACCCCAGACTTAACTTTGATATTTTCATTTTAGTATCGTCCTTCTCAATATTACCCTCCCAGTACTTACTCAATGCCTATTCCCGCTTATACTGGACAATCCTTTGTTCCTCAACCTGCTGTAAACAAGGCAATTCCTATCATTAACCCCAACACCAGCGAAGTTATCAATCTTTCTTCTCAAGCTGCTGCAGCTGCCGCAGCTGCCAAGGATGCCACTACTACTCCTGCTGCTACCACCGCCATCAAGGCCGAAGAAGCTCCTAAGGAAAAGGAATTTAAGGCTGCTCCTTCTCGTGCTATCAAGATTGTCAATCCCAGAGTAAGTTTTTTTTATTTGGATGTTTTTTAAGTGATAAGTATACTTACTCTCAAAATAGGCAAAGGAGGAAGAGGCTGAGAAGAAGGCCAAGGAGGAAGCTGAGAAGAAGGCCAAGGAAGAGGCTGAGAAGAAGGCCAAGGAGGAAGCCGAGAAAAAGGCCGCTGAGGAAGCTGAAAAGAAGGCTAAGGAGGAAGCTGAAAAGAAGGCTAAGGAGGAAGCTGAAAAGAAGGCCAAGGAAGAGGCTGAAAAGAAGGCCAAGGAAGAAGCCGAAAAGAAGGCCGCTGCTGATGCTAAGGCCGCTGAAGAGGCTAAGGCTGCTGCTGAAGCCAAGGCTGCTGCCGAAAAGAAGGCTGCTGAAGAAGCCAAGGTTGCTGCCGAAAAGAAGGCCGCTGAAGAAGCTAAGGTCGCTGAGGAAGCTAAGGTTGCTGCTGATGCTAAGGTTGCTGCTGATGCTAAGGCTACTGCCGATGCTAAGACTGCTGCTGATGCCAAGACTGCTGCTGATGCTAAGGTTGCTGCTGATGCTAAGACTGCTGCTGATGCCAAGGTTGCTGAAGATGCTAAATCTGCCGCTACTGAAGCCAAGGCCGAAGATAAGCCTGCCGAAGAGGAACGTATTGCTGCTATTACTGCTGATAAAGCTGCCAGAGGTGTTGCACCCGGTCGTCTTGATATGTCCGCTATTCCTGCACACGTTTTCAATGATTCACCTGTTTCTACCCCTATTGCACCTCCCAAGGTCAAGGGTCCTCCTATGAAGGTCATTGAAGATTTCAGCTCAATTGATTATCCTCCTGAGTTTTTAGCTCCCAAGGCCAGAGACCCTACTACCGGCAAGATTTCATACGATTCTGCTTTCTTGATGCAATTCCAACAGCTTTGTCTTGATACCGATGAGGATTTAACCGCTTTCCAAACCATTGGTGAGGATTCCCAAGGTGGCAATGATAACCGTCGTGGATCTAACCGTCGTCAAACTTCCGAACGTGGTCGTGGACCTCGTACACCTGGTGGATCTGGTGATAATATGTTTAGAAATGGATCTCGTGATGGACGTGGAGAGATGGGTAAATTCAGCGGTGGTCGTCCTCTTGGTAACCGTCAAGGTAGCAATGGACCCAACTCACCTGGTATGGAACGTCAAGGTTCTCAAGGTGGTAGAAACCGTAGTGGTCGTGGTGGTAAGGGTGGTCGTCCTCCTAGAGAACAAATTGGTGCACCCACTATTCCCCTTGATCAAGTTGTACCTTTAGAAAAGAGTGAGAACCGTTGGGTTCCTACTGTTGTTGCCAACGAAGGTGAAGTTGTTGATGCACAAAAGGCTGCTGATGCCCTTGTTTCTCAAGAAATGATTATCCGTAAGATCAAGTCTCTTCTTAACAAGTTGACTCTCGAAAGATTCGATTCTATCTCTGATCAAATTTGGGAATACGCAAAGCAATCCGAAAAGGAAGAAAATGGTCAATCTTTAAGAACTGTCATTCAACTTATTTTCGACAAGGCTTGTGACGAAGCTTCTTTTGCTAGCATGTGGGCTCAATTGTGTAAAAAGATGTACGATCTCATGTCTCAAAACGACAAGATTAGAGATGTCAATATTCTCGATCCCAAGACAAAGGAACCTGTTCATGGTGGACCTCTTTACCGTAAATATCTTCTTAACCGTTGTCAACAAGAGTTTGAAAAGGGTTGGAAGACTGGTCTTCCCAAGATTGATGAAGATGCACCTGGAGAAGTGATGATGACTGAAGAATATTATGCTGCTGTCAAGGCCAAGCGTCAAGGTCTTGGTCTTGTCCAATTCATTGGTGAACTTTTCAAACGTCAAATGCTTACCGATCGTGTCATGATTGAATGTTTGATTAAGCTTTGTACCGATACCACACACCCTGAGGACGAAGAGGTTGAGACCATGTGTAAGTTATTAACTACCATGGGTAAGGTCTTTGATACCAGTAGCAGAAAGAACAAGGAATGGCTCGATACCTACTTTGATAGAATGCAAGAAATGTACAAGTCTGAAACTTTAAGTTCCAGAGTCAAGTTCATGATCTTGGATGTCTTTGATCTTCGTAAGAGTAAGTGGACTTTAAAGCGTGGTAACCAACCTGCTCCCGCCACCATTGCCCAAATTCACGAACAAGCCAAGAAGGCCAGTGAAGAAAAGGAAAAGGAAAACATGAAGCGTTCCGGTAGCTCTCGTGGTAACTCATCTCATCCTGTCTCTCGTCAAGGTTCCCATCGTGGCGGTGGACGTGATATGCAACGTCAAGGTTCTCAACACAACAACAATGCTAACCAAAACTATAACCAAAACAATGGACCTGCTCCCGTCTCCGATGGTTGGAACACTGTTCCTGGTAGTCCTACTGCTGCTCCTCGTGCCAGTGGTCGTCCTAATGAACTCAATAACTTGGGTAAGGCTGAACGTTCCAAGTCCAGAGGTGGTAACATTCTTGGTCCTTCCACTAGTCCTTTCAACACTTTGGCTCGTACCAACTCTAAGGCTGCTACTGAAAAGAAGGGTACTACACCTACTGAAGCTCGTAGTGCCAGTCCTGCTACTCACATGAATATGTTCAGTGCTTTAGGTGGTGATGGACATGAAGAGGAGCCCACTGGTGAAAGAAAGAAGTTACAATTATTACCTCGTGGTGGTGCTGAAAACGCACCTGCATCTTCTGAAGAGGAGAAGACTGAAGAAAAGCCCAAGATGAGTGATGATGTTGTTGCTCGTAAATCTAAGAGTACCATTGAAGAATATTTCAGTCTTCGTGACAAGAAGGAATTAGTTGAATGCGTCAAGGAATTAGATCACACCGACTACCATGTCATTTTTGCAGGCAAGTTATTAGATTTTGTTGAGAAGAAGACCGAAGATGTTCAAGTTGTTTGTGACATCATTGCCGAACTTTACAAGGAAAACTTACTTACAAAGGAAGAGTTTGTCTTGGCCTTCAAGAAGTTCTGGGAAGGTTATGAAGATTTAGTTATTGATGTACCTCAAGCACCCAAGCATGTTGATATGCTTCTTGCTGCCACGGGTATTGAACGTTCAGAAGTTGAATGTGAAGCCCAAGATTTTTAAATACTATATATACAACCAATTAACTAAAATTTCATAAAAATTAACTGTAATATTTCCCCATCCCACACCTTTTTCCCATCCTCCCACTTTCCTCCCTTTCCTCCCCTTACCAAAATACAATTCACTATTTCCTATTTTTGTTCTTTTATTCACCCCTCCATATCATACATATATATATATTTTTTTTTTTTTTTTTTATGTTTTATTAGGCCTGCCCCGGTTGACCCGGCTTCTTCAGGGCAATAAAAAAAAAAGTTTATGAAACATATTTCGGTTTACATTTTAGTCTTTGTTCTGAATTTCAGTAAAGGGGCTAGGATTTCTAAAGGACCAGCCTTTTTAAGAAATTCGTGCTATATGACATAATAAACAATTAATATGTGTTTACAATGAAAAGTAGAAAAAAAAACACATGTTATATAATAACTTACGTTAATTAATTCCAAAGAATTGGCACGAGATCTTACATCCACACAGAGACAAACAGCCAAGAAAGATTTCAACTCACTTGATAATCTTTCGGGATTCTTTAAAGTTGGTGTACCATTGGTGGCAATCAAGTATAATGCTTTCAAGGGTTCTTCATCAAGATAAGGAGGTTCATTTTCAATCATCTCAATGGCCATAATACCAAGAGACCAAATATCGACTTTCGCACCGTATTCCTTTTGCTTCACTACTTCAGGAGCCATCCAATAAGGTGTACCTACCATGGTGGCACGCTTTCTTTTCTGATCTGTCAATTTAGCACAGAAACCAAAATCACTGATTTTAACATGACCTTGTGCATTTAATAAAATGTTGTCGGACTTGATATCTCTATGAATGATATTTTGCGAGTGTAAATGGTGAAGACCGGAGACGGTCTCAAGACAGACAGTGGCAATCTGTTGTTCGGTCATTTTACTATTGTTGTCAATAACATCGGTTAAAGCACCACCTTCCATAAATTCCATCACAACCCATAATTCAGCATTGCCAATAAGGAAAGAATCCAAATAATTCACAATGTTGGGATGTTGAGACTCCTTCATCACTAAAATTTCATTTACGATCAACTCTTTACGTGGTTGGTGAGCTAAATCCATTTGCTTCACAGCCACTTTAGTGTTGGTAGCTAAAGAATTGGCAACATAGACAGAACCAGAAGCACTAATAATAATAATAATAAAAAAAGATTATTAAATACACATGTATATCCAACAAGATAATCTATATTTACCCTTGACCAACTCGCTTGATCTTTTTATAACATTCGGTAGGATCACCCTTTGAAACTACTGAACGAAGCTTTTCCATGATTTGAGCTTCAGACATTGTACTGATTCTTTGTTCAACCTTCTTCTTGGAAGACACCTGAGCAGCAGCCTTCTCTCTTTCTCTTTCACGATGTAATCGCTCTCTTTCCTTTTCACGCTCCTTCTCCTTCTCGGTCTCTCTATGATTTTGTTGTTGTTGGTAATAGTCTAAACTAGGCTTCTTTTCTTCAGTTGTTTCAGGTCCTAGTAATTTTTTAAGCTTCATGTCCTTTGTGGACTTGCCAGTAGGGATCGGGCTTCCATTTGGATCTCTAGATGGTAAAGCATAATTTCCCTTTTTGAAGAGTTAATTATATATTTTTTTTTTTTAAATAGCAAATAAATTAAAATAGCTTACGGGTACAGCTGGTGTGATTAAGTTCGTTTTATGCGTGGGTCTTGGTGGTGGAGGTTGATCCTGTAATTTCATATCGGCTAAGCCCGAAGTAGGAGGAGGAGGGGCAGGTCTCATTGGTATAGTTTTTGGTGGTAATTTGACGTTGGGTTTCATTTGTTGTTGTTGTAATTGTTGTTGTTGGTCCTTTAACTGTTGTTCTTGCATTAATTTAGCCCAATTGACGCCACTCATACGTTCTACGGCACCTTGGAGCTGAGAAGCACCATATTCTTCCTCTTCGCGTTTGGTTTGTTCAGCATAAAATTCGAGTACATCAATAACAGCTTGAGGATTTTTGGCGGCGTCTTCTGCAGTAATAGCAGAGCCTTTTAATAATCGAGTCCATTGGTCGGGTAAGCCCTATTTGAATAATAACAAAAATAAATTAATCAATGTATATTTAGGGTTTGTTTATATGAAATTTACTGTAAATGCGCCTGTTATTGGATCAAATCCCACATGGACCTTGTGTACAAAATTAGTTGGGCCAGACGTTCCAACTGATGACCTCTTTAAATATTTATTAGTGTCCTTTCTTTTTTTTTTTTTTTTTTTTTTTTTTTTGTTCCTGGGATTTCTTACATTGTAAATTTCGTCCATCCAACTATATAATTCTTCATCATTTTTACAAGAAACGAAGTAAGTCTTGTCTTTAGCTGCAATTTCAAAGCAGTATGGTTTCAAGTCAATTCTTGTTACTGAGCCAATTTCCTTCAAAAACAACAAGCCAATACATTGTCCTGCCTAAAATATTAAAATAAGAATCGAGTTAAAAAAAGAACCTCGTGCCTCTCCATTGCATTTGAAAATCACCTCATTTCTATGGAATGTTAAAGACTGGTCTCGAAGTACACAATATCTCTTTGACCAAATCCATGCTCGTAGACCTTCTTCTTTCAAAGAAAGATAACCTTCTTTAATAATTTCAGGCATAATAAAATGTAAGGAGAGAGGAAAAAGAAGAAGAAAAAAAAAAAAGAAGAAAGAGATAATGAAATAACTTGGTTTTATTCGGAGATGAGCTTGCGGGGCGGTGTTGAACCTCATTTTATAATAAAAAAGAAGGAGGTAACAGCTTAACCAGGCTTAAAGCATGTATTTTTCATTTATTTATTATTTATGTTTAAAATAAAGGGAATGCTTAGACTTCATATTCTTACACTTTCTAATGTTTATCTTTTACACATTTGACATGTTTTGCATTATAACAAGAAAATAAAAGATCATGTCTCTCAGATATTAAGACGCTAAATATGGCATAGACGCAAAAAAAATCACCGGTCGGTGTGTAGAGTACGCACGCACACACGCGCGCGCGCGAAACAGAATAAATCGGATCAACAAATCATAAAAGTTTGTTTGTAATTAAAAAAATAAGGTCAGTGGCAAAAATAGAATGAACAAAAAGGGGGGATTAAAGTTTTCTCGATAATCATATGCATACCATGTGTACGTTATTGTCATTGAGAAAGTCTACTTTTTTTTTTAATTTAAGCGCAGTTCTCATCATCAAAGGAAATGTCGACGATTCACGCCGGTTCCGCGCAACACTCGTCATTTCACTTCCCCTTAAAATAAAAATTGCCACAAAAGTGGCTCGAAATGCAACCAATGGATAAATCTCACACTTTTCCTTTTTTAGAGCCTTCACACTAAAAGCTGCGGTCATGGAATTTGAGGTCGTGCAAAGACTTCGTATTCCGTCTGTCCCAAAATATGAAGTCTAGTTCTTTCATCTCTTTATTTTTTTGGAAGTTTTCTGTTGATTGAATTGTCAAAGAAATCCTACAGCCAGTGTTGATCTTCCCTGTTATTAATATAATAGGCTCTCCTACTAAAAATAACTAGACTTCTAAAAATAGGATCCTATAATTCTGTAACTGAAGAAAGGAATAGCGCTTTGCAATAAGTAATATAGTTCGATTTACCCTGGTAACGAAATTTATTCGGCATGGATACTTAGAAAAAAAATAAACCCCTAAATGCCTGTGGGGCTGCGAGACAATTACATATTTATATCCTACAGAGAGATGGGAGTACATAACATTACACAGACCCCCTGAAAGCGTCATTTTAAGAAAAAGAAAAGGTTAGGCCAATGATCTATTGGAATGGCGTACATATACAAAAAGATAAGGTTGATAAGCGTCTACATTCTGTTTTTCTTCATACTGCAAATGATAGTAAGTGGAGAGCGTATATTTACATGTCTTACCGTTTTTGTAAAAACTAATTTAATTTTCTACGCATCGAAAACAAGCATAAATTAAGATGGGTATTAATTCAGTGCGTTAAAAAAAATTGACGGTTGTGGAAAAGCAGTTTGATGGATGCATGAAATGTCAATATGAGTTAAGTACATTGCAGACCCTACATTATCCAAGTATAATAGGTTATTTTTTTATGTAATGCACAAAGTCAATAATTTAACAAAACAGGTTTTTTTTTATTGCACCTGTTTTTATATGGATAAAAATCTATAAACATATTGGTCAAACATTGACGCAAACCTAATTTTATTAATCATAACGGATGGTAACCCCTGCTCGTATTTTCTCTCTCTTCATACTTATTCCAAAAAACATTACTCTCAAATCAGAAAGTTAATTTATTATCAGGAAATAAGGCAGTTTTTCAGACTGTGCGCTTTCATACATTCAATTGCATCCTGGGTACTTTGTCTCTCCGTATACACAAGCTTTATCCGATGACTCTCCTTTCACCCACCCCCCTTTTTTTTAGAACGTCGTCCTCCGAATTCAAGAAGTGACGGGTAACAATATCTACCTGTAAAATATCATGGATTTAATTTTGGGTTGAAGAGCGCATTCTTGAATTAAACTCTATTATGTTGACTAGGATTCGTACGACATTTTAAACAAGGACATTCATAACTAATTAAAAAAGAATTCGGTACATATCACAGCCCGAATTGCTTGTTTATTGACTTGCTACGACTGTTCATCCTTGCTCTTCTTCTTCATTTAGGAAAATAAGGGAGTCATCACGATGAAAAAATTCGACAATAATTGACTGCATAAAAAACTTTGCTTAGAACATATGCTCATGATGTCCTTTACTTTTTAGACCCAACTTGAGATTTTACGAATTTATTAAATTATATTGATAAAAGCCAAGTTGTTTTATATTAGCCTTGTGCCTATTCCAATAATCAACACAATTATTATCTCTCGCTGACCCCACTATAAGTGTACATTTATTCACCACGAATTTAACTTGCTACACATTTTACTTTGTCTTCTTTTTGATTGATCATTAAAAAATTAGAATTATATTGCCAAACAAAAGAAAAAAGTACGGTATAGCCCTTTTTTAAAATTGAAGTGCATTTTATACATACAGCTTTTTTTTTTTTAGAATTTCCAAGATTGACATAAGATTAGATACTTGTCGTATACAAGATTTCCCTAAAAAGGGAAAATCTTAATACTGTCTTTCTTTAAGCAATTCAAGAAGGATAATATACTGTTAAACTTATGTCAGTCGGGATCATCACATCAATACACATTAAGCGTATCTTTTACCTAATTCCAAAAATTATCTTGTAATTTATACCAAGCAGTATTCCCTCCGTCTTTTTTTTGCTGTCTGTTATCTTTTATATTTTTACAATCACAGCATCTTGCAGAAACTCATTGAAAAAAATATTTTTCTTTTTACATCTAAAAGCACTATATTCTCTACTCGTCCTTCATTGTATACTGCTGGATCTGCATCTCATTTGTCCTATCCAATATGACGTCGTTTGAGATCACTTTCAGAGTTTTTCTTTCTTTTATAAACAATAGCTAACCTGAGCTGACTAATTGAAGTCTGGCACTCACTATCACATGTTATTTAATAATAATTGTCGCTTTTCTACATTTAAATTCGTACTAACGCTATATCACTACTACAAAGAAAATTTGATGCAGGGAAAGAGAACATCCTTTTCAAGCCCAAAATGGTTACAAGTTATACCGGCGAAGAAATATCCAAGCGGTGACATAAATGTATCTTCAGTAGACTTTACTGAAACATTTGGCTGGAGACAAAAGAAATCAAACGCTTTTTTAAGGGCAATGGCAATGGATGACGGTTGGTTAAGCCCATGCTTCCTAGATCAGATTTTAATTATTAATGTTTAAAAAATAAAATAAAAGTAATGAAGGCTTGAAAAAATATATATCATTGATGCATAGACTCGTCGTCCTGGGGGGGGGGATGGGCAGCGAGAACCAATGGACTATCGTCCAAATTTTGATGAAGATTTACTGTAGGATAACGACCCGATATAACTTCTTTTGTTTTTATTAGGGTTGAACCTGGACGTAGTCTATTTAAAGTCTCTAACGTAGCCTCCTTTTGAATGAACAAGGGAGGTATATCTGCACCAGGACCAGTGATAATACCATCGGTACGCAAAGCTTCGTATAAAAGAAGTATCATTTTCCCAAATTGGACCTTGTTTGTGCACGCAGTGTTTAAACCATCCCAGTTTTGTAAGAAGTATAAACTCACAAGAAAATCGAGTTTCTTAGTGGAGGGGCCTTGAGAAACATCAATGTCATACATTGGTGTCGTGCTCGCAGCAACGGAAACGGAGAAAAGAAGGCTTGCTACTCGATATTCTGACCGACCATAGTTGCTATTGTAAGATACAGGCTTACAATGTCTATAACGGGTGATGGGAAAGTCTTCATTATACAGAGGATTCTAGATTAAGCCGTGATCATAAAAAATGTGAGAATGTCCCTTTTTTTTTAAAAAAAACAAAGTTAATATTTTAGCGTTTTTTTTTAAAAGCAAAAGTTGTTATTAACTAACCTTTTCACAATATTTATTACTTCTTGTTAAAAAGCTAGTGTTATACAGGATATACACAAAAAGAAAAAAAATGAAAGGAAAAAGCGTTTACATGGCTTTTATTTGTAGACTGATAAATAAGCGCTCGTATACGTCATGATGATTCAATTGTTTATTTAGTCAGAAGATTGTGTGAATGAGTTTTATTTATAAACTGATAAACAAGAGCTGGCTTAAGCCAGGATGATTTAATTGCTTATTTATGTATTTATATGTTTGAGCCTTCACATACTAGAAAACAGGCGTATTCATAGACGTAAAAACAGGCGCATAAAAGAGTACGCAGAAAATAAAGGGCCGTAGATACAAATTATAGCATCTGTGTCACAATGCTCTACAACATTTTTACAGATAAGAAAACACATTGGTTAATCTCCATATGCAAATTTAAAAAAGAATTTCGATTGCTCTTATTCCATTTACTATATGCGTTGTCTATGCTTTAAAAAGATCTCAATCCAGATGAGTAATCTGTTTGATTAAAACTTAAAATTATGACTATATAAAAAATTGAGTATGTGGGACAGATAACAAAAACTTATTTTCTGATGTTGTGCTATCACGTTGGCAAGCTTATCATGAGTTGTTATGTACAATGTTGAACAGGCGAAAAAGTTATACTCTGTGGTTTATTATTTGTAATAGTTTATCAAGATAGTCATTGTGTGATGGAAATTAAAAGCGCATAAATTGATTAGCTGCCACCAACTTTCATTGGCTTAACAGCTACTTCGAATTAAACATGCAATCGATTGTTTCCACATTTGTGGGAATGGTTTTCCCTCATACTTTAGAAGTAGATAACGATAGTAATAAAGTATACTTTTTATTATATGAATCATTTTCAGCGTAAGTGACCATGTATGACAACGTTGATATAAAATCAAAAACTTAAAACTCTTCATATTTTTTAATAGACGTTATAGTGTAAAACTTATTTCCGATAAAGACATTTTGCTAAAAGCTTTCCAAGATTATGATTTAACATGGAAGATTGACAATATGAAAAACAAAAAAAGACCAATTATGATGATAGCAACTGGGGTGATGGAACAAAAAACAGCGTTGAATGCATTCTTAGGAAGGGTAGTCGAAGAAAAATTCCACATGAAGCCCCTCTCAATGTCTGTAATCCCATGTGTACCACTTATATCCAACAAATTAAAATATATGGTCCATCCTGAAGTCGGTCCAACGCAGCTCTCTGAGGGTGTGAAAGAGGGATATTTCCATGTAAACTTGTCTGCCACTCAAGATTTTGAAATCGGCCCCGATTTTTTCGAATCAACCTTTGGTGTGAATGATGATTTGGGTATATGAAATCCTTGTAATATTTTGCATTATTCTAACATAATCCAAACTCTAAATATCTGGAATCCTTAAATAATAATATGCATGATCGTGATCAACCCACCGTACGTCCAGACGATGAAGAAATTCAAAATCCGCAAGAAAACAATTCCACTACTACTCCAAATGTACACAACGACGTGGATGAGGATGATTCAAGCGATGAAGATCTTGAAGGGGATCAAGCTGCCCGAGAGTACTTTCGTTCCGGAAGAAGATTCTCTGATTCCAGCAGCGATGATGACTTCGAAATGGAGTCATCTAAAAAAGACGCGACGCCGGTATTGCTCGATAGCGACGGTGAGATCGTTGATGAAGAAATAGATCGTATGCAGGAATATGTGGATGAGGTAGAGCAAGAGCTTTTAAAAAGACCAGACGGAATGCAACAAAAAGGTGATTCCGCAAATGGAAGAAATGAAGAAAGGGCAGCAGAGAAGGAAAAAAATATTTCAGATTTAACTTCGCAAGTGGAAAACGAAAAAGCCACAGAATGTGGTACAAGTTCCAACCTTAAAAGTAATACCACCACAGCTGTAGAACAAGGTAAATATATCAAAAAAAAAACAATCTTTAAACATGACGAAAATTAGGACGAGTTATAAGAAATACTTAACTGCATTCAATTTTAATTTCGATTTGTAGAATACAGAACCAAAGACAATATTCAACCTTCAATTCGAAAAAGAAGAATTATCAAGCCAGAAACCGATATCAATGAGGATAGTTCAAACACTTTGGATACACAAATAACGCCACCAACCAATACTAATTCAAAAGGAAAAATGCCTGATCGACAAAATGTAGAACCTTTTCGTTTAAATATCAACCATCTTTTGACCCTTTCTTCGGCAAATATTGCGCCAACAACATCAGCAAGAAAAGATAATTTGCAAGCGCCTTTTCACCCTTTTTTTAGAAAACGTAATGCTTCCATGTCTTCAAGCACATCTGATATTTCAGACAACTCTGCAAGTACACACGCATCATCTGACACAGATACCAATATTGATAACCGTAACACGTAATTTTCTATAAAACAAGAATATTATGATTTACAAATTATTTTTACCTTAGGTCCAACAAGCAAAAAAAGAATGAATGTTGCTCTTGATAGTGGAAATCACCCGCATACAATGGTAGGATAAAGGAATTAATCATATCTGAATTAAGTAAATCTCATTTATATAATTTAATAGGGTAAAAAAGCTAAACTGGATTCACCTTCAAGATCATCCAATGAGTCTGACACTGACACGCAGCAACAAGAAAAACGAAAACCTGGTAGACCAAAAAAAAAGGGAGAACCATCTAAAAAAGGGATCGCTGATCAGCTACCAGATATCATAAAAAAGGCAAGAGGAAGACCGAAAAAAGATTCAGACAAGGAACCATCAAAAAGTAAATAGAACGTGATTCTCTGATATCAAAACCGGCTACTTTACGTATGCCACGCATAAATTTAAAATGAAATATTATTAGTTCTAAATATGACGCCACAACACCTTTTTTTTTATTTGATCATAAAATACGTATGTTTTTGATAAAACTTCCAGCCTCATGCGACATCCCCAGTTTTCTTTATTCACTTAAACATACTCGCTTCAGGCCAATTTTTTTCTATTAAACAGTGTGTATCCAAAAGGATTTTTTCTGACCTGCTTTGGGGAAAGTGTTTCTATTTTAAGTAAAGGTCCAGACATTATGAAAGATGAAACAAGTAATTAAATCATCCTGACATAAGCTCTTGTTTATCAGCCTACAAATAAAGCTTGTTCGCACACTTTATTCTTCTCCTTTCTTTTCCCTTAACATATTTCTTTTATCGTTTTTGAAAGTAATCGATAATGTACAAAGGTTAGTAAATAATGATTCTTGTTTCTTTCAAAAGACGCTAAATAAAAAAAAAAGAAATATTGCGACTGCAGCTAGTCTTTGCTATAGGAGGGCGACCCCTATAGCATGGACCTTGAGTTTTTTTTAGGAGCTCATAGGCTGTGGATAGCCGTGTTTTTACTGTGGATAGCAGTGTTTTCACTATGAGTAACGGTGTTTCACTGTGAGTAACGGTGTTTCACTGTGGGTAGGATTTATAAAGGGGCTAAAGCTTTAGTAAGTTTTGAGAGTGAGAGATACTTAAATGTTCTATATCATAAACTCTTTAAAATATTAGGCAGATTCTAAGACTGATACTACGATCCATGCGTTTGATGCTGCACAAAAAGCTACGGAGTCTGCTTTGAATATACTTGCGAAATCTTTTAATAATTGTCAAAAAAACCAAAATAGTAGCACCGCTACAAGCAATATTGAAATTAGTAACACAGCTTCTGATGACGATGAAAATGAATATATGTCTTGGAGCTCATTGAAAGACGACGATGAGTTGAAGTTCCATTATATTGCACATAAAAAAGTACTTTACATAAAATGCAAACACGCTTTGTTTACTAACCGTTATTATTTTTAAAATAACAAACAGGCCGAGTTTGGATGTAATGCCGAAGAAAAAAAATACTTGACAGAATTTAAAAGTAACGGAACCCCAAGGTCCGATCTTTATAAATTGTCCGCCATATTACTTCTTAAAGATAAGCTCACCTTCCAGGAGGAAGCACTTTTAACGTAAGTACAGAGAATACTTGATGATCGTTTTAATAAATCTACGGGTATATATACATATATAGACTTTGTTTATCCGGTATCTATAATTATTTTCATCCGTTCACAACAGCCATGTACACAACGTATCTTAACCGACCAACGCCTCCAAAACTTACAAGCATAGCCAATCAAGATTTGAACCCAAATTTGACAAGCATGCTTTTAAAAATAATATCAAATAATGATATTAATGAAATACTCGGCACAATTCAAGAAGAAAAATCAAAATTAAGCAAAGCAAAACAAAGACATGATGATTTGTACGTTATGTTGTCCATTATTGAAAAAATGTAAGTGCTACAGTAAAATGATGGCGGATTAATAATAATATTATATATACTAGCATTGAAGACACAGAACATTGGAGTAATGAACAAAGTGAACAAGAAATCACTTTCTATCGAAGGTTTGCAAGTTTATTAGATTCGTTATTTAATAACTGTGAAATTAAAATGGCTGAGTAAGAAGACTTATATAAAAAGAAAAAAAAAATTAGGTTATCTAACCGCATTTAACTTTTTTTCTTAGTGGAGAAACAGGATGTGAGAGCTCAAAAAAACATATTGAAGTCAACAAGCGCCTATTCAACACAGACGATAATTCTCCTTCGTATCCCAGAAAGATAGATCTTTTACTGAAATATGATGACAGAAGAAATATTGAACTGTGCTCGAATGAATGGAAACGAGCCAAGGTCACCAAAGGCACCAAAGTAAAACAGCAATCCAAGAACCTTCGGGTCAATGCATCAATCATTCAAAATCTCCAATTGGAACATGGTCGATGTTTTGATACTATTCTTGCAATGGATATAATAGGTAACTATTTTTTATATAATAGGCATTTTTATTTGATGTTTATTAATTTTTATATACTATACAGTGCATCTATTTTACAATGAACAATTTTCGTTAAAACGGACATTTTCAGAACTTAAAAGTCGGATTTTTAGACTGGTGATTTTCATATTTTTTGACAGAGAAATCTAATTTATCGCGGGAAAATGTTTAACCGGGATATATCCGTTGGATTTTTATGAATTTTTGCACTGTAAAACACCTCCCGGACATCTTTGGGTCTCCCCACTGTAAATGGCCAATTTTGTTTTGCCATCTGTAAAAAATTTTGTGTGAAAAAAAAAATTCCGGCTCTATTAGTCTGTGGAGAACTCTCTAATAAAGAATGTAATAGAGCCGGATTTTGGATACCTGTTGAATTCATCGAGGAGATAGAGTTTTTATTTTTTTTTGAAAAATCGGAGCCAAAAATTGTTCATTGTAAAATAGATGCACTGTAAAGGATCAAAAGGTTACATTTATAGTCTTACCAAGCATGAGGATTACTTTGTCGCTTCTCCATATTCAACAATCGTTATACCTATGAAAGTATCCGATATCTCTTTCTTGAAATCCACGTTGGCTTCTCTTTTTAGTTTTAAAGTAATGTATTTTATATTTTGTGTTTAAAATGTATAAAAGTTATTAATATTATTTTTTTGAAAAAAAAAAAAAAAAAAAAAAAAAAAAACTACCACAAAAATAGAGCTTCTACACCTCCCTCATTCCAAAACTACGAGAAAAAATTATGCAACATGAAATCAGTCATGATTTGGACGATGTTTGGATTATAGAGCATGACAATCAACTACAAAACAATACCAACCTCATTTACTTTGAGTCAAAGAAAAGAAAGTCTATCGATGATAATAATGATGGTCATCAAAGTAAGAGAGGCTCGAACCGCGTCTGAATGAAAACCAAGACAGTCTTTAAAGATATATATATATATATATGCTATGAATGTGTAAAACCCATATATTATCTACTTCGAGTTCGAGAGCTATTGTTGTGTATTTATTAAATTATGAGATCTGTCAAAAACTAAAAAAAGATGAATATCATGCTATCCTCAATCCGTTAACTTGGTACACAGTAGCGTATCATTGACAATTATCAATATAGAGACCCATATAAAGTAACTAATAGAAGCATGAAGGATGGTATAAAACTATACTTTATATGGATTTCATTGGATTTACATTTTGTGGAGGAAAGAAGAGAAAGTGTGTACTTCAGATTTTAAAGCACCAAGTATTATGAAATCTCGATAACCTATCTTTAACATGTTCTCGATGTCAGAAAAGACTTTTGCATCATTTTATATGTTACATCGTCTATGAAAGATTATGAGAACCGTGGGATTGGATCTTCTCCTTTTTCTAACGTATAGTATTGTAATGTATTTCAAAAAAGTCAACCATTCAAAGAAACAATAATACTAAATTATACTTAAAAAGAGAGATTAGGTAAACATATGGAACAACATACTTGGATGTATATTTAATACAGCGAAAAATGCCAGAAAATCTGATTTATAATTGCTCTTTTAAATTATTAATTATTTCTTAAAAGAATATGTGTGCCATCTATCGTTCACAAGGAAAAACAATGACTTATCATTGGGGTATGCCAATTAATGTATTCCAGGTTGCTGAATATTCTAAAGTGGTACTGACATTGGTACTTCGTTACTTTATGCTGACCTTTGGATGGGTACACATCTCAATACTCCGCTTCATGTCTAAAGAGCTAGTTATTCACTCATTTAATATTCATACGAAATTTAATAAATTGCAACAAGTGCTCACTGATTTTTGTATCTTTTGTTTCTCTAATATTAAATGATATTATTTATTCTTCTGTCATAAAAAACCAACAAGTACAATGATAACCTACTACCTTTTCTCTTCAAAATATAATCTGTCGGTGAAGCTTTTTTTTTTGTCTGTTCAAGCTCATCTTGATAAATTATTAGGCGCCCGCTTTTTATATTTTCTTGGCAAGCCACACATTATTTCTGGTAGAGCAGCATTTATTCTGACAGAACCACTTGTATGTCGTACCAAACACAATTGTTATCTGAACCATACTTTATTTTCATATTCAATAAATTATTTTTTACTTTTCCCTTAGATCTTTCTAAGCCGCGCAACATGGAATAACCAGATCTGATCAATAAGCTGAAATAAATGAGACAAGAAATAGCACATGAACGAATATTTACAGAAGCTCAGGTCGAACAGATCATTGCTGAAGTCAGAAAATGAGGTCAGGAAACACAAATTGAGGAAGCTGATCGATCTCAGGAAGAAAACCAATTGCCAATCGAGATATTTGAAGATTTGGAAGAGTATTCAATCAATAAACTACAAGGAGCATTACAAAAATTAAAGCACTCAACTCACAGATACAATAGAAGGCAATAGGTTACTCCCAAAACAATCAACCCAAACTTTATTTATCAACTTAAGAAACCAAAGTCGATATTGGACGGCTCGTCAACATCAATTACTGCCTTACCGAGAATACACGTTTTCAGGCTAGAGCAGCAACAGAAATATATAAATACTTCAAGTACATCTGTGATAAAGGATTGTCGCAACTATTCCTAGATTCAATTAAACAAACCAGTCGAATAACAGTCTATGGATTTGGAATTGCAAAACAATAAGAGGATAAAGCGAAGGACATTACTACAAAGGCCCTTAAACTTCCACACAGTCTTAACACCTCGAGACGCAGATTGGAAAGAAAAAATACGCCTTCAATGAAAAATTTGTTTCACAGTACTACGATAAAACATATGGACAAAAGCTTACAAATGGATCTTTTAAATCAAAATTAACGGAGGGAAATTAATTTCAGAGGAAGGGGATTGAATGGATTTAGACCCAACCATTTTTTTTCAAAAAGAGGCAAAGGAAGGGGTCAACGAGGACAAGAAGGGAATACCACCAACCCTAATCCCAACTCTACCAGTCAACTCTCCACTTAGGGGAGCCCAAACTAGCAATAAAATCTACAGAGAGCACAAATCAGTGTCCTGTAATTCTAAAACCGGTTCAACAGCAATTACAGTCAACAGATTCCTTTCAACAAGGGATTAAAACTCAAACAACCGATTATAGCTATTCAATACCTCAGGGTAGTATTGTACCAGATGGTCACCTATCTCAATTCATCCAGGCTTGGAAACAATAACTCAACATACAAGGGAATAGTCTACCAATACACATCTCCGGCCTTTGGTCTAAGTATTGTATTTTCAAAGATCATGAGATATGCTTTAGAGCCTTTGAGGTAAAAAGGATTTATTATCTGGACGACATTTGTATCCCTGAACAAATGGAAAAGACAATCACATTACTAATCTCATATCTAACAGTATTGTGTCTCCTAAAATGATCCTTAGTTTTTTACAATTTCCTCGACAAATAAAACGGTCGGACCAATACCATACTTTCCACCACTCTTTGGAATATATGGATTTCCTACTGGAAATACATAATTGACCAGGTATCTTTTCAACATACCACCATACTGTCCAAGATCAACGCTCAGATAAATCAACTACTTGTCTGTACAGAACTAGATTAGCAAACCATTTATAACATCTTCCTCCTTTAGTTTAAATACTCTATATCCTAACTTCCTCTAGTCATAATAGTCATATAATCAAGTTTAACCTCTCCGCGATGTGGGACTTCTAAAAAGTTAAAAAAAATTGTGTCTGTCGTATTTGGGTACGATCCACTTAAAGAATAATTAAGCAAATCGTCTAAATAAATAAACTATGAAATTAAAACAACCTTTGATGTTGCATATCAGCATACGCTTGTATACTGCTATACAACTTCTCCTACTTCGAGTACATACTTCTATATAAAAGATTGCATGATTGGCCTAAATATGATATACAAATGACAGTTTGATACATATTGCTATACCACTGAGTTACGATATCACCGATCGAGAAGAGAAACTTCTCGGATCAAATCAAGAATTATACGAAAGAGAAACTTAATATTAACAGTTCTCTCAATGGATTAGCTACCCATAGAGAGAATAGAACAGCTATTAATATACATGGTTCATTTACTTATATATTGATATAATTATACTGCTGATAAAGAGTATGACGAAATAGTGTATGAATTAATGGATACCTATCTTCTGCAACCAAATATTCAAATAACGATGAGACATTTTATAATTGGGATCGTATTTTATTCATTACAAAGATAATGAATAAATGATCAACTATTATGTTCTATTGCCAATTACACTTGACAAACAAGTATGCATCTTCTACAGTAACCGTTGCATGATCTGATAAATAAGTGTCTCGTAATACTAAAGATTTATTAGAATACTCATGCTCCCGTTTCACTGGTATGGGACAACGTTAACTGGAAACAATTCTAACGAGTAGTATTAATTTAACCCAAGGCGGGAAACAAAGTATAGATCTAATCCAAAACCAGAAAGGTAAACTCATTAAAACTCAGGAGAGTTGTGCAATATAAAAAGGATCAATTATTCCATAGCAGCAGAGTTCTTTTAGTCTATTTTATCCTTCAATAAAGATATACTTTTATCTCATTACTTTTCTATTGTAACTATTTTGTCAAATACCACAGTAGTGCGTGTAGGGCACCTAGTTGACGCTATCGAGATAAATTTAAGTCATCGTGACGCGTGAAATGAGGATCAACACAGAGCCGATATCATGCTTAACCGAACGAAGCTCAAAACGATTAATTTATCAGGGTGGACGCAACACAGAGATGGTAGATTCTGTTTTTAACCCCCACTGTCACTCACTCTCTCACTCATTGTCAAGATCTTTCGCAATGTCACTCACTCTCTCACTCCTTGTACTATGAAATGTCGTGCATAAAAAAAAAGCTTTATTTTTAAAAAAATCGTACATAGTACGCCCACATTTCATCTGCCCCAAAGACAGGCACCACAGGCAGTCTTTCCTCTCTGAACAATTCTGGTAAATTGAGCGTCTGCAAGTATGCCCCATACTCGACCAAAATAGCAGCAGGGGCTCTATTTAACTTTGCCGGCGGCAACAAGTCAACCAACATCATGGCCGTAATGCCGGCCTCCTGGGCCAGAGGATGAAGAAATGCCCCCAGTTTTAAAGCCCGACGGACAGCTTCCAACTCCATCCGAGTAGGGTGGGGGGAGTGGAGCACTACATTTTTGTTTGATAAAGATAGATAAGTTGAGGTGATTTTTAAAAACATCATCGAACAACTTACAGCCAAGTTCACGCACGGAGAGTGCACCATTGTTCATGGTGTGAAGAATGGTGGCCAGAAGGAGGTTTCTTACATGTTGGCCAATCATATTTTCCCGCAGGAAAATATACTCACTGACGATGGCATTGAGCTCCAAACCCCGTCTTGCCACGCGAGCATCGGACATCCCCATCGCCTGGGTGGTGGTGGTGATAACGTGCAAAAGAGAACCAGGAAAACGTTGATAGCGGTAAGATACTAGAGACATGTTTATATGTTATTTTTAAAAAAATCTAAAGAGTTATTGAAATAGTTGATAAAATACGAGACAGAAAAAAAAAGTGAATTTTATTAAAATAGGATAAAACCTGATATTTATACCAAGCTCGGAACTTCGAATATACCTGAAAAAAACTTACTTCAATCAAGTAATAGTAGACGCATGAACGAATGGCCGTCTGGGTGTAAGTATCCGTTCAAATCTGGGCGGATAACCGCCCTTGAGCGAGTATCTATTTATTTTGGGTAAATAAACAATGTAACTAAAAAAAATAAAATAAAAAAAAACTTACTTGTCCATTCATTATGATTAAATAATAAAGGTAGCACAAAACTTTAAACGTCTTTATGCGTTCCATTTACCTGCAGTAGACGAGTATCCGTCTATGGGCGAATACTTACTCACATTGAGTAAATAAAAATATCGTCCGTTCCACTTACCTGCAGTAGACAAGTATCCGTGTCGTATTTGGGTACGATCCACTTAAAGAATAATTAAGCAAATCGTCTAAATAAATAAACTATGAAATTAAAACAACCTTTGATGTTGCATATCAGCATACGCTTGTATACTGCTATACAACTTCTCCTACTTCGAGTACATACTTCTATATAAAAGATTGCATGATTGGCCTAAATATGATATACAAATGACAGTTTGATACATATTGCTATACCACTGAGTTACGATATCACCGATCGAGAAGAGAAACTTCTCGGATCAATCAAGAATTATAAGAAAGAGAAACTTAATATTAATAGTTCTCTCAATGGATTAGCTACCCAGAGAGAGAATAGAACAGCTATTAATATAAATGGTTCATTTACTTATAAATTGATATAATTATTTTGCCGATAAAGAGTATGACGAAATAGTGTATGAATCAATGGATACCTATCTTCTACAACCAAATATACGAATTTCAATAAGTCACTTTTTATTTGGAATCGTATTATACTCATTACACAGATAGAAAATATCACTATGATCCAAGGTATGGCAGTTATTACCAAAATCTGCATAAATTCAACAATTTTTTTTTGCGAACCTATGATATCTCGTATCAGATCTCTATTCACTTCTATATTTTTGGTGCGAAAAAAAAAAAGTAGCAAAAAAGACATAGTTTAATTTATAAACTATTACGGAATAGTTTCCTCAATGCACACGAACTTTTAAAACGAAAGTTTTTTGAATTTTGGAAGAGTTACAGCCGTTTGAATTTTTTTGTTTTTTTTTCAGCTTCAGGAATTGGTGATTGATATGCATACCAGCGTTTTTCCACCAATTTTTAGGTAAGGGGTATGTGTAACCCGACCGATTTTAGGGAGGTAGAACTGAAGTTCTCTTTTTTTCTTTTTTCTTTTTTATTTTTTTTTTTTTTTTTTTTTTTTTTGACCCTCTTCATCAATGTAATGTTGTTGACATCTGAACAATCATTGTGTGATCCCGAACTAGGTTTCAATTTGAAAGTTAAAGATTTATTTTAAAAATATGTGGATATGGATAAGAATATATGTAAAAAAAAAAAAGTTTGTGTGGATAAGAGATAAAAAAAAGCATGGGTTGGTGTAGAAGAATAATTAAATGTGTTTTAGTTGCCCAGCACTTTGTTTTACGTTTTCGTTGAAGATCTTGTATGGTGCAACAACTTTATATTCAAGTGAATTGGGTGATGACTGGACCAAACCTACTTGATGTTGGACGTCGTTGAGGCTGATCACAGCATGTTTTGTTGTTGCACTATCGCTGTTCATTTTTATCGTCGGTATAGTATTGTCATAGTCGGCAGCGTAATGTTCTTTCATTACTTCAACAAAAACCAAGAATTGTGCATTTTGAGGATCGGAGGTGTTGTTGTGCTCGAAGTAAAAAAGCACCGCCCCAATGTACCAACAAGTTTTGCTACATATAATTGGTAAGTAACCTACACATATTTAAGAAAAAATTGATGCTTACGATTTATAACTAGCATTGAATAAAACGAAGTGATTTCCACGGCGATGTTCCGATCGGATTCTACGGTACATATTGGAATTTATTACGAGGATGTACAAACGTGCGCGGGCAGCAATTTTGAAGTTCATATTGTTAATGGTAATATAAGAGAGAGGCAATGTTGTTGAACGGCCATAATAAATTTTTAGCTCTCGAAGAAACGTATCAATGGGGACCGATTCGACCATGTCTTGAGAAAATAAGGTGAACGGTCTCCATAGCTGATGATTTTGGCTGTGGATTGCTGTAAGCGGCAGCTCTATAAAATCATCCAGTGATGTTTTTATTGCCGTGATTGTATCCAACAAACTGACTATGTCTAAAGCCAAATTTTTATATCCACGAATCGAGAGTCTTTCCACCATATTCCCAGCGTTTTTCCCAGCGTGTACTTTGCTTTTGATCAATTTGGAATATTTGCCTATTGTTCTTTCCATAGATCTTGCACTATAAGATATCATGCATCCCACTTTTCGCACAATGTAGCCGATATGAGAAAGATAGTGATTGTTCGTAATTTCCTGATCTAAAAACACATACCAACTCTCGAAGCAACTAGGGAAAGCATTAATTTAATAGGTTCATGAATATATCTAATAAATGTAATTCTACCTTTCCATCTCCTGGATCAAAGGACCCGTAAGCTCCCACTGTAGTGCAATCGCACAACCTCTAGAAAGCATAATGAGTGCTTTTCTTACCGCAGTTCTGGCAAACAAAGGTACCAACAGAGTTGGAACCACGTACAACAAAAAATCCAAAAAGTCGATTGCCCGGGCTCCGTCAATTTTCTCGATTAAGTTGTCCCAACTTCCCTAAAAGACACAGGAATACTGGCCCTGGAACTGGTAATACAAGTTCCAACCAGATCAAGTTGTGCTTTTGAAACCTTAAAAGTGTAGCCATCCTTGTTAAAAATATTCTGTTTCTTGGCGTAATAACTTGTATCGTTGGTTTTGTTGACCTTTACAATAATATCAAAAATGAAGCGTCCAATGCATTGCCCAAGCAAGTGCATCTCATCCAAACCATAGAAAGAAGAGCCAGAGAAGGAAGGTAGCACGGAAAAAAGGTTGGCCTTTTTTAATTTGTGTGCCTATTATATGATTTTTAAATTATAGGCTCATTATCATAGATTGAAGAACTAACTTGATCTCCGTGCACAAACTGGGAAACTGTTCTTAACGACGCAGTTCTGTCTTGAAAGTACATGCCATAACCGGTGCATTCACGTTTTTCTCCTTTAGACAGGCAAATTCTGCAGCCGAAGGAAGCCATATGCCCGGCATGACCTGCAGAAATAGCTGAGTATGATTATGACCTTTCTTTTTTTCTTTTTTTTTTTTTTTCTTACCTGAGGGATGTCCCCGGTGGCCATGACCAAATGCACTTTTGCTATTACTCTCTCACCATTCCATCTTTCGACAATCAAGCCATGTTCACCCGGGCTTTTTATCTCATCAACAATCGGTAAGAGGAAGGAATCTAGATCCTTAGGCTTACCAGGAGTAATGGCAAGTTGAAACATGTACTGATCTGTATACCTATCATTTATGTCAATAATCACTTCTGAAAACGTAAAGCTAACCTTACCTTATAGATGGGTCAGAATTAAGTACCAGTACATGCACAATTGTCATTTCTTGCTTCGATTTTTTCTGATTGACAAATCCATCGACAAAGAGTACCAGAGCAATATCTTCGGTAGACTGAAAAAGGTTGGCAGCTTTTAGAGCCTTGTAGTCCTCACCATGAAAGTAATCAGAAATGATTCCTGGATTTTCCTTGCGATCATGACGGTAGCGTAACTTTTGTCGTGTTTCCTCATGGCTTAAAAGTTTAGAAAGCTGATCACCAACGGACATCATCTTCATTGTTTGGACTGGAATTAAGGCGGAACCAGGAACCCCGCTTTCGTATCTATTTTCTTTACATACAGAGCAAACTTTTTTATCTTCGGTAATATCAAAGAGCTGACAAAATTTTTTGCAAATATCATACTCATGCGCTTTGATTGTTGTTCTTTCCTTTAGAAGAGTAGACACAGGACCGGCATGAAGAATATGGGGGTTATATTCTGTGATTAATAGAATATTTAGTACTGTTTGTATGTATGAATATGGGTGTATAAGAAACACTGTACCTTGGGCTAATTTTTCATGATCTCTGATAACAGTATTCAAAAGGCGCACAATTGGACGATGGCTTTCAGAAGAGACTTGGAAGTATGTGATGATGCCATACAACTCGATACTCATAAGCTGTGATACAGTAAACGCGTGCTCTTAGATAGAAGCTTCATCATAAACGTGTTCTTCATCATCAGGGCTAAGATTGCAAGTGGCTTTGAATGATCTCTGCTCGTTAGGATCAAAAAAAAATCTAGAAATAAAGTTTAAAACTAGTATTTTGATTTTGTGTATGCCCATTGTATCACAACTGTCATACTAGATTGAGAGGTATTAGCCGAGGGTAACATTCTGGCTGTTTCCACATTATCGACCATAATGATTTCTTCATTCTGAACAGCAACACTGGGTTCGATATGATTAGCATAAATATGATAGTGGTTACGAAGATTTACACGGGTGTCGAACGTTCGGTTGCATTGGTCGCACGTAATAGGAAGAGAAAGCTTCATACGTTTAAATTGTTTTTGCATGGTAGAAGAGAAATGTAATGTTGGTTGTTATTCAATAGTAAAATTTAGCAATTTTCTATATATTATTTATATAAAAAATTGATGGCTTGTGCACGACAATGTATAAAATTAATATAATAAAGATTGTACATAAATTTATATGGCCAATTGTTTTTTTTTTTTTTTTTTTTTTTTTTTTTGCTGATTTATCCTTAATTTATCATTGTATTCTGTTTGTCCCTTTTATTTGGACGTTTAACTTATTAAGATGAATAACAATTCTAGCAGAAGCATCATGTCAACATCCACAAGCGATGATATGGTTAGGGCTGTCTTAAATGAGGTAATTGAACTCAAATCATCGGTTTTGAGATTGGATGAACGGTTTGCTATTCAATTTTCACCTGCACCAAATAACGAAAATGTAACCAATTTTCGCGCTTTCGCAACTGCAGGTACTATATTTTTTTAAAATTAAGTGATAATTATGTGTAACAAGTTGTCTCTCAAGGTATTGATTTGGTAGCCAAGGAAAGAGAGATGGCCAGAGTTAATGCCCATCCGGATTGTCTTGGTGCCCGAAGTATCGTAACTACCTTGCCAGGGGCAGGGATAAGGTTCCAGCCAACGCGCACCAACAAAACACCTTGCGCTAACGCACGTATTCATGCATTGATTGTCTATATGTTGAAAAAAATCACAGTAACTCTTCCGCAGAGATTGGCCATGCAAAATGTAAGGAAATCAGACCGCAGTTTCGGAGCATCACTCGCCGCTTACGATATGCAATGATTCAGGAGGGTACAGTTGCCACCAGTTGGGGAAGTCTCCCGCCTCAAGACAGAACGTACTATGCCTTGAGCCTTGAAAGCGATATCTTTGATTACGGTTATCAGATCTACAAGTGCAACAAGAAATGGGCAGCTAATCTACTCATTCAAGACACAATGAAGGGGCAACGTCAAAGTGAAAGACGAAGGGTAAAGTTTCTTTCAGTAGTTAAGTGAAACCTTATAAATCTCACGAATTAAAATAAAATTAGGTTGGGGTTTCCCCCGTCGTAGAGGCTCCAGTAGAAGAACTTGAAACACCAACTGAAGTTAGAAATACCAGACGTAGATAACATTCCTCTAATTTTTTATACAAATTTAAAAACTTTCTAGCTTTGCATTCTCTTTTCTTTTCTTCCTATTTTATTTTATTTTGTCTTTTATAAGGTATGCAATGCTATTGATCTATGGCATGTTCTGCTAAATGGTAAGAAATTTTATTTTACATTTCCCAAACTAATAAAAATTGTTTGTACAGTTACACCAGCATCACAAGCAGACTGAGGCACAATTGCGTAACACTTGCTATAACTGAATCTGTAAACTAGACTTTTGTCAGAATAGATGTGGTTATGAGTACTCTTGATTTCTTTTTTTTTTTTTTTTTTTTTTTTTTTTTTTTTTTTTTGGATATTAATATTATTATGTGTTTTAGATCTCACCCCAAGTATTGGCATTACGCTTTGACTATTGAATCTGCAGGATCTCATTTTCTGTTTAAATATCTTCATAGGTGCATATTTAATTTTGCACAATTCTTAAATTCGATTCCAGGTTGATAATTATAAGAATGCATTCCAATTCCCAATTTCCGAGGGGCCTTATATCATGGACGAGCATTACAATCAATACATTCTTTCATTTTCAAATTTTAATTGAATAAAATACGTTGCAGACCTATAATGTGCATCTGATATAATAATTTTAAAAAAAAAATTTGTAGTTTTATTTAACAATTACTTTAAAATTAGTAGTTTTTTTCACCAATTTTAAGCATCCATGTATCTAGACACCCCTATTTTTTTTTCGAATAAAGAACGTCCAATCGTTGATCCTCTATTCCTGTTATGTTTGCGCACGTCATATATTATACACCTCAAATTTTTTTTCCGGTCCAAGTATAATTTGGACCGCGAAAAAATTAGACCAGAGGTCGAGGTACATAATTTTGTACCTGAACCAGCGGTCGCGGTAATTATTTTGTACTTCGACCAGCGGTCGCGGTAATTATTTTGTACCTCGACCAGCGGTCGCGGTAATTAATTTGTACCTGAACTAGCGGTCGCGGTCCATGTACGCATGAAAACCGACCGCTACTTCCAGTTTCTAACGAATGAAAACATCATAACCTTATTATTTAACGAGATGGTATTGGAGGATATTCTTTAAATGTATATTAAACTAGGGCTATTGACCCTTGCAATATTAAATGGGTTTTACAAAAAATAACATTGGAAATAATAGAATATGAGGGGCAAAAATAATGTTTATATTGGTTTTTATTTTATAACGAAATAATTTATGAATGGTTTATACACGTATAAAAACTACGAAACGCCTGTTCAAATGGATACTGTGTAGTGTAAGGATGACAACAAACAGATACCATACATAATATAGTGTTGGTTGTCCTGGTTGCATACGGAGACTACCAGATGCAGAAGTGATAACAAGCTAGATATATGACTTACCTTTGATAAAGCTAGATTGAACTAAGAAAGATACAGTTAGAAAATATAAGCAAGGCTTTCAATTTTTTTAATACTCACATTGTAGTTGACAATCACATGAAGTACCTTTTGCTGAGCTGTAAACAACTATAAAATAGAGTTAAAATATATAAACACGGTTTTCAGTATTTTAAAAAAGGCTTACTCGCTTTAGGTGACAATCATCTATTTAGAGTGGACAGCAACCATGTACGCGAAAGAATGCAGTGGTAAGTTAAGCCATAAAAGCCAGTACGATATATAACAATATATCTAATAGCTTTTCAGTTAGTTATATGAGGATGTGATGTTTTGAGGTACTTACTATAATTTTTGAAAAAAAAAATTTTTAGAAAAAGAAAGAAAAGAAAAAAAAAAAAAAAAAAAAAAAACGAGTTTATTTAAAAAAAAATTAAAACCCAATGCGGATTAAGGCTTAGTTTTGCTACGAGAGCGTCCTTCTATTATCAACTCATCCCTTGCCCGTTTGGTTGCTGCCTTTTTTGCGGCCCTTTTTTCAGCTCTTTGGTCAATCTTTGAAGACGAAGTAGATGGCTCAGGGGGTGGAGGTAAAGAAGCAGGTGACAAGCAGACAGATGCAGACAGGCGAGGAGATGGAGAGGGAGAGGGGCGGGGAGATGGAGAGGGAGAGGGGTGGGGAGATTGGACAGAATCCGTACCAGGCACAGAGAAACTCTCATTCTGCGATGGGGCAGGTTTGTCTTGCTCATCTTGACCCCCTTCCAAATATACTGGTCTGAAATCATGCTCCAGATATGTATCCGATTCAGCGGAACGAGAAATAGTGGTATTCGTGTTGAGCGCAGCCATGAGGGAACGAGGAATGGTATTCATGTTGAGCGCAGCCATTGGGCCTGACATGGATCCAGAAGATTCGACACTTGCTACGGGGTTTGGGCGCTGATGAAAGATTGCAGTTAGTAACATCACACGTTTATGACCATTAATATCACGTACCAGTTTCTTGGTATTACCCAACAAAGAAATCATCATATTACGAGCAATCCAATTATTCATGGCCAAATGCAGAGGCAAAAAGGGATTTTCTGCGGCGAGGTCAGACATTCTACCGGACCCTGATGGCACCCCAGGATTGCTGCTATTGTTATTCCAATAGTAAACAATTCTCTCCAACATATACACCATCATACTTTGCTCATCGTTTTTCTTGTAATCAGTCCAGCAAGATCCATTCACCCGGTACTTGTCCTTGCAATATACCATAAGAAACATGTTTGCTATATGAAATGTATTGCTGTAAGCCTGGGTAGCCATTGCTTTATACATCGGGTTTTCTTTGACGGTTCCATCGTCAGCTCCGTAAACGAGACTCTTGAAATGGTTCTCAGTTACTTTTTTGACCTGTTCAACGCTGTATGCCTTTGGATCAGGTATAGTTCTCATGCCTAAGGAATTCAAATTGTTGTGATTTCCGAGAGCTATGTCGTTCGTCTGATAATATTGAATGGCCTTTGAGATACAGTTTTTGATCATACGCTGTTCTGCTTCGTGTTCTATTAAATCAATCATTTATGATTAGTGAATGAACAATATGGCTTCATTATATAAATCTCACCTTCTTCACTTCGACAAGAGCTTGAACCCAGCGCCGACTTGCTGCTAATCCTTTTACGTTTTGTTACCGTATTTCCGGGCTCTTCAGAAGCTACAGCTGTCTTCACCAAGTCAGGGATCATGCTAACAGATTTGTTAACAATATCGACCATTGTTTTCATAGAATCAACCATTGTCTTCATAGACTTGACCATTGATTTCATTGCATCAATTTGTTCTTGCATTTCATTGGATTGATTGGAAGGATAATTGGAATTCATTGTTCAGGACTAAAAATAAGATGCAGAAAAAAAAAATGAAATACCAAAAAAAATTATCCTTAAATATATGCATTTTCGGTCATGTACCTTTTTTTGTTTTTGTATGAGCCTTTCGGTCTTATGCTCCTTTTTGGGAAAGTATAAGAAATACCAATCATCACTCTTCATTACGTCATGGAATATCGCTCCATCAAACCAAAATAGAAATATTCTGTTACACGAAAGTACATTTTACTTGTGATTTGGTTTTTGACAAGGACATACGATCTAATAAGGCAAACATCTGTGAAAGATATTGAGTAGTGAGCGATTAAAAAAGGTATAAATCCAAAAAAAAAAAAATGCTTGATACTTCCTTTAAAATCATCCATTTTATCTTCATACTTTAAACAATGACAAACCCAAATTCGATTCAGAAAGCTAAACTAAGTCGTGCCTCTCAAAAAGGTTTAACTAGACGTCTTTTGAAAAGCATCCCTAAGTACACTAGTCCTGCTACTACTTGTGATATTCCCATTCTTCCTGCTACCACTGCTGACACCGTTGCCACTCTCCTTCTTCCAAATACTACGGTTACTGCCTCTGAAGACTATGATGTAGACATGTCCGAATTTTGCGATTTTGACGTGGCCGGTATCGATCCAAACAAAATGAACATGCTGACTGAAAAAGAGATAGCCGAACAAGAAGAAGAGCATGTTCGATATATTGATGGTGAGATTTCGGACATAGAGAGCGAAGATGACGGGGACAGCGAAGAGTTCCAAAGAGCACGAGAATGCCAGCTTGAAGAAGTTGACGATGTAAATGAGGTTATGGAAGGTAAACTGTTTTTTATATTTGATGATTTCATACCTTAACTAATGATCACAAAATTATAGATGTCCGTGTAAGTAGCGACAGTCAAGATGATTCAAACATCAGAAATGTTTTTATACCAGATTATCCATTTGACCAAGATGAGCTTGATACTTTACAATTCATCTATCTCTGTATCAGTAATAATATGACAGTCCAGTCTTCAAGAAACATGAAAATGTTTATCGAAATGATTATTAACCGAAACAAAACTCGTAAGTTACAATTGTTCATACAGCCAAAGTTCATCTACTTACCATTTTTTTCCTAGCTCATTCTCGTAAAAAAAAGATACTTCTTCTTAAGGAGTGCCTTGCTTTGATTAAAAAGAAAATACCCAATTCATTTGTCCGCACCCATGAAATCTGCTCGGGTAAAGGGTGTTATCTTTTTGATCCTGTTATTGATGCTGATAAGCTTGCTTGTCCCCACTGCGGTGCTTCCAGACGGCCCGGTTCTGTAGTCAAAATGGTTGACATTGGTGATCACATAAGCCATATGCTCGCGTGCGACGAATTCCGTAAAGAAGTAGAGCAATACCGGGAAGTCATCGATGCTAGAACAGATGATGACCCCTACACAGATTTCTTCTCTGGTTCCGCATATCAAGAGCTTCTGGCGAAAGATCTGTTTGCTGGTAAGTATGATATCGGAATAGTTCTCTGTGTAGATGGTTTTACTTCTCGTGTCTCCAACCAAAGTATGGTGATGGTCCATGTCATCATTCCTAGTATAGATCCATCAATCAGGTAAAATATAATCTTTTTATATAAACTTAAAAATCAGTATTAATTTCTTATTTTTACAACTAATTTAGATACACAGATGATTATACCTTCCAAATAGCAATTCTTTTTGGTGATACCAAGACCGACTTTGATTCGTACTTACGCCCAATTATTCAAAGTCTTGATCGGTTGAGCCGACAACCCATCGTTGTCAAACGTAATGGTATCTTTGTTGCTAAATCGCATGTTTACAACCTTGGCGTCATTGCAGATGGCATCGAGATCAACCAACGGTTGTTAAAGTTTGCTGGCCATACAAGTTGGTATGGGTGTCGATTTTGCCTTGGTAACTAAAACAACTCAATTGAATACACTTTCAAATTCTAACCCTCCTCCTTAGTAAAAGGTGGCCACCCCGCCGAGGAAAAAAAGTCCGGGATGTATTTTTTCGAAAGAGGTGCTCCTATTCGTACAAGAGAGTCTTTGATCGAAGAAATAGTAAGTGCTAGGACAGAGCTTCATTTCAATATAATATTAAATACCTCTTCTTATTATAGCCTGCTGGAACGGAAAGATACGGCATCAAGGAACCCACGCCTTTCGGACAGCTGAGTACCTTCCTCTCTATTGACTTTTTCATGTGTGATGAGCTTCACATGTTCTCAAATGTTAGCAAGCTTTGCTTCGATCTCTTTTCCCCAAGATACAATGGTCGTTACAAGTTTGTTGATAACGAGGCATGCTACCCCTTTGCTCTCACCATGGAAAACATCCTCAATGTCAAAAGATCGATGGATGAATCTCGCTGCACAATCCCCTCCGATTTTAATGGCTCATTCAAAGGTGTACTTTCAGAAAACGCTCCGTCCATGTACCGTTCTGTGGACTGGATAGCTTGGTTGGTCTACGTTGTTCCGACAATAATTGCTCCTCTGTTTCTTGCTAAAGAAACCAGGATTGCGGTTGTTGCTCTTGCTCGTGGAATAAAAATCAGTCTGCAATGGTCGATCTCGTCTGCTGAGGTTCAAGAAATCGATGGGTACTTAATTTATTGATTTACGAGCAACTATATAATATTCAAATTACCTAACTGTTATTTTCTATTTAGGTCCTTCGAAACATGGTTCAAGTATCTTGACACCTGTCTTGCCAATGATACGATTTCCAGGACTGTTTTCAGGTCAAACCTCCATCAGCTTCACCACATACCCTACATGATCCGAAGAATGGGGTAAGCCACTAATTACTTAATCCTTATTCGATCATATACTAACCAACTTCTATAGTCCATTGCGGTGTTATTCTGCTAGGTCCCTTGAACGGTCGATTGGTACATACAAAAAACGTATCCGGTCTTCTCTTCATCCTGGTATTAATGCTGGCAACATCATGGAAACCAAGGAAATATTTAAATTCTTCAATGCATCCGGTATTTTTGACTTCTCTGCGTTAACGGCATCCCCTGACAGCAACGAGAAGAACTTCGAGCAGCATCCTCAAGATGCCACCTATCCTCAACTCTGGTCCCCTTTTGATGATTCTTTTACTAAGGTTGGTGTGCTCTTGCAGGGTTCTTCGGATGTCCTCATTTGTGGTCTGTATCGCACAATCCCTTGGTGTCGTGCGTTGATGGGTTGTATGACAAGGCTGACTGGCATGAGGCAACGAGTTGTATTGCCGTTTCATCAACAACAACACCTTCGGATTTCGACAAGGTTATTCCATGAAAATCAAGTCTACATTTCGGAGTTGTACAAGAAGAAGAATAGGTCATGCTCTCGTGGTGGTGAATTCGTCATGTTTGTGCTAAAACCACATAGTAAATGCTACTGTCTACAAAAGGAAAGATGTTTCACGGATAAAAGATCGGGAATAAGTAACCCGGCTTTATGGAAATTTCTTCATTACAACACAACTCTAGGCTCCGACCAATGAGAGATCAGAGAATTTAAGGAACAATAATAAATCAAGGACAGCTATCTTACGATCTTCAATAAACCAAATGAATGGTCCATCATATAAAACTACGATGGATCTGAGCTGTCAAAAATACAAGCCACAATATCTTCAATCTTCTATAAATATCAGGGCAAACCTGCCCATCTAGTTAGCTCTTAATCAATTTTTATACAAATAAATCGACAAGACTTATAATTGTATTCTCTTTGTTTTTTATCTATTTTTTTCTGTAAAACTATTCTCTCTTAAAGTCTACTTTTACTACAATGTTCGAAGCGATACATAAGAACAAGTAAGTATATGTTTTTGCTATCGCCGTATTGCATTTATTGACACTCTTCAAATTTAGTCTATTCGTGCCAGTTAAAAACTGGTTCGTTTGTAAGATTCTGTTCTTTTTCCGTTTCCAATTCTCCGCCAATGAACCAGGGTCCCATTATGTGTATGGTGAATTGGCAAAAACACATGGCGTGTCTCCTATCTCAAAGTCTATCCCACGGATTCAGCTCTTTGGTGATAGCGAGCAAAAATTCGTTGTATTTGACGCCAGGGATATTGTATCTTCTGTTGGATTGCTGAATTCCTCAGACAATTCAGCATACAAGTATGTCATCAAAACTGGTGATGCGTTTGCGAAAGACATGTCAAGTTCTGCCGGAAAGATTGGGACTCTGGAGTAAAGAGCTATTTTTTTTTCTTTTTTTTTTTGAATGTAGTAAAGGCTTTTCAACATCCGAAAAAAAAATTATCGCTTCATTGTGTCACACAAAATAACAGTATTTTCTTCAAACATCATCTTTGCCATCACCAAGGAACATATTTATCATTTTTTTTTCATAACACAACTTCCAATATAACATATTATCTTTATATAACAATTTTTTACAATTTTTATGTCATTTGCGTTTTTTTGATTTTGCGGTCCAAGTCTAAATGTTACTTGGACCTCTGGTAGAGGTAATTAGCTAAAATTGGACCGCGACCTCCGGTCCCGGTCTAAATTGTAAATTTACCACGACTAAGTTTTACGGTGATATCCAATTGGGACATGGGAATATCAGTTTTTATTAGCGGAAAATTTACCCTGAGGATAAATAGTGCCAATTATATTAGTATGTATTTGTCAAATAATGTGAAATAAACACCAACAAAATTGGGGGGAATTTGCTCAAAAGGAAGAGAAACTACCAACAATAATAGTGTATTTGTCACTGGTATGATGGAAAAAACTACCAAAAAAATTGGTATCAAAACCCCCGTTTGGTAGTTTCACAAGCTCACATCCACCAATATATTTGGTTATGCGTAGGGTGGAAAAAGCAACAGTAAACATTAAATTGGTGATAAAACTACTATGCTTCCATTTATATTGTTGGTCCGTAGTCTTAGTTCCGACATGCTCTAGTTCGACACTTTGGTTCCGACCCATGGTTTGGTTCGATACACGTTTGGTTCTGAACATTGAAAGTGTTTTGTTCCAACCCACCTCTTTGTTACGATACACACATTTGGTTCTGAAGGAGTGAACAACATGCTTATACACATTTGGTTCTGAACGGGTGAGCAAAGCTTATTTTTATTAAACAGTCGGAGGTGGAGGAGATGGGGGAGGAGGAGGAGGAGGGCCAAAACGCTTTAAAAATTCTTCCATTGCGGCCTGGTTTGACTGGTTGTCGGGTTAAGATTTTTTAAATCGACCCGTTACGGGGTCACGTAGAGTTCTTTTTCTTGTTCTACTTCCTTGTGAAGATTGTAATGATAGTGATGGAGCGGCGGAAGGAAAACGTGGTGGAGGAGGTGGTGAAGGAGATGGTAGTGGAGGTGGTGGTGAAGGGGATGGTAGTGGAGGTAGTGGTGAAGGAGATGGTGGTGGAGGTGGAGGTGAAGGAGATGGTAGTGGAGGTGGTGGAGAAGGGGACGGTAGTGGAGGTGGTGGAGAAGGGGATGGTGGTGGTGGTGATGGACTCTGAGTAGGCGGAGTGGCTGTTGGTGGTAGGGAGGGTGGTGTAGGGGTGTCGTTACCGGTGTCACGTGCCTCAAATGGGGGCAAGCGAGGTGGATTCTCACCAAGATTCAAGATAAAATCCCTTTCAGCGGGGCCGGGATCTAAATTCATGGGACCAACAAAGGCATGACCCACCATATCTTCATTGATGGTAGCTGGCATCGTCGTGGGGAGCACAAAGAGAGACCTAGCGAGGACACGAAGTCGCGTGTCGGGCACCAAACCCAAAAAATCCGCCATGATGGTGCGTGGCATGATGTTACCGGTCAAGAACACAAAGTGGGCAAACGCTGTTAGCAATGGCACTTGGGCTTCATACATTGTGCTAGGTATCTCTACCTCACAACATACAATACCCGTATAGGGATCGTACAAGTTCGAAATGTAGCTGCTGCCATTCAGTCGTCTGACTGATGACGGAATGAGAATGGCGACAATGAATGTCTGGAATTGCTGCATCTTGTTAGAAAAAAAAAAGAGAGACAATGGAGGGAGGAAAAAGAGAAAAAAAAATAATGAAAACGATGACAAGAAATAAATCCATCAGTGCCTGATAAATTAGGCAATGATGTAAGTTTAAAAGAAATAAATCCATCATTGCCTGATAAATTAGTGTCGTGAGCCTAGATGTCATCACTTGACTAATCGGTGTTATAACTTAACACATACTAAATTAGACAGATCAAAGAAGCCAACGCTAAATTAGTATAACTTAGCGTTGACATTAGTTAGAAACTAATATAGTATAATATTCAATTCATATAAAAACCCTACACAAAAATACAATAAAACATTATCTTTATTTTCATCAAAAATCTCGTTAATAAGTTTAGCTACGAAGGAATTTAACTACAAATTCCTATCCCTATAAACTATCAACCAATCATCTGGTATCACTTTAACGACCGACTTCCCTCTTATTTTATGGTGGAGTAGCTGCTTCTTTCCTGCGCCTACATATCTATATCTATCTATCTGCTCTATACTTACCTCGTACTCTCGCTATCAATGCCCGAATCTAATTACCCCGAAGAGGTCAACTCTTTTGCGTCTATGTTGGCTGAACAACGTGTTAATAACACAACACTTGTGACTCCTTTCCAACCCGGCCAAGACATATCACAATGGATCAAACAATTTCATCTTTCAGCTAAGTCTCTTGGGATGTCTAACGCCACGGCTCGAAACATGCAAATGCTCAAATATTTGCCCCAGGAAGCTACTGACTGGTTGGTACGCGTCGCTGATTTCTCTGATCCTCTGGATGTCAAGGCTAAACTCGAGAGCGTTTACGGTATTGACCCTTTCGTACAAAAATCTCTTTGTCGCCAACGCTTGGAATCTCTCAAACAAGGTCTTCGTCGAGTAGCCGAATATCGAATGAACTTCGAGACAATCGTCTCTGATTTTCCTGAAGAACATACTCTGGCTGCCGATGTTCTGCGCAACATCTTCTTCAACAACCTACGACCAGAACTTCATACTGCGTTGCTTGGTATCGTTGATCCCGCCGATACTTGGAAGACTCTTGCTGATGCCGCTGCGATTCGTGAATCTGTTCTCTCGTTGGGTAATGATCATTTTCTCACTCCTCAACCTCAAGTCCCTACATTCGATGGCCCATCGCCAATGGAAGTTGATGCTATCCAAAAGAACAACAACCATCGTCGCTCCGGTCCCCAGGAAAAACGTAAGGAAGATCCCATGCGTCGTTGGGCTGCTTCTGGTAAACCTATCTGTGGTATCTGCGGTACCGAAGGCCATCTCACCAAGAAGTGTCCAAAGAAAACAGATCGTGTTCATGCTGTCGACAAGGTAAAGGATCAACCCTCTACTCCTGCTCCTACCACTGTTCAATATGTGGCTTCCATCTCACCTAGTAACAGCCAATATGCGGTTATTCCCATTGAACATGACCCAATTGCTTCATGCCCCGAGAGTATTCATGCGATCTCTACACCTGTGGATGACTGTTCTATTCCCCCCGTAGTACATAGTATCTCAGTACCTACAGATGCATCTTCTAAACCAAAGATCCGTGTCCACTTCAAAGGTTATGCAGCTCTTGGCCTGATCGACACAGGAGCTTCTGTTACTGTCATGCGTGAATCTCTTGCTAAACAATTGAACTTGGTCCCAGACGCTAAACATCGTATCTATTGTACCACGGCCGGTAATCAAGTACACACCTCTTTAGGAATGGTCCAGGTCTCGGCTTTACTTGGCGAACTTCCAGTCATCCTCGACTGTCACGTTGCTACAGAACTGGCTCATGAACTAATCATCGGTTATCCTGTCTGACGATCTTTAAAGGCGATCATTGATGCTGGTACTAACGAAGTGCGCCTTCCTAAGGGAATCAAGGCTCAACAACCTAAACAGCCTGCTGTTGCCTCGGTTTGTTCCATGACTACCTCACTGGACCTTCCTGGTTTCCATCATGCGTATGTGGATATTCAAGGACCTCCGAACAAGCTGGCATTTGTATCTACACCACAAAACTTGGCCATGGAAAAACTCTTGTCTGTTGCTGCTGGTGTGGTCCAATTTAATGACAAAGGTGTTGCTACGGTGAAAATTGCTAATCTAGATACTTCAAATATTTTAATTAATAAAGGTCAGCATATCGCTTCTTATGAGTATTTACCTTCGTCCCCAAAACTATATAATATTTCACCTTATCCTTCTATTATCTCTAGTATCCAGTCTTCGAACACTCAAATCTCGAGTCGTCCACCAGGCCCTAGTCTCGATTTCGCATCTTCTCTTGGCGATAGTCTCACTGGAAACGAAGCTGATACTTTGAAGAAGGTTCTGGGTGAATATTCAGATTGCTTTGCGTCGAAAGCATCTACGGTCACTCCCTTGGTGCAACATCATATCGATACTGGAGATCAACGACCTTTATCTCAACCTCCGCACCGTGTCTCTGGCGCTGAGAACGATACTATCAATGGCCTACTGGAAGAAATGCTCGAACAAGGAATCATCCGCGAAAGCAATTCACCTTGGGCATCTGGTGTTGTCCTCGTAACAAAGCAGGATGGGTCACCTAGATTCTGCGTCGATTATAGACGAATTAACAGTGTTACTACTCGTGATGTATATCCATTACCACGTATAGATGATACGGTTCACAGCTTGGGTAATGCAAAAATATTTTCAACATTAGACCTAACATCTAGCTACTGGCAGATCGAGTTAGACAAGGAAAGTATCCCCAAATCGGCTTTCATTTGTCGCAACGGTCTCTATGAATTTGTTCGAATGCCATTTGGACTATGCAACGCACCTGCTACCATGCAACGCCTCATGGATTCTGTTCTCGCCGGTCTCAAATGGCAACATTGTTTGGTCTACTTGGACGATATCGTCGTTTTCTCACCCGACTTCGATCAGCATATCAAAGACCTTCGTTCGGCTTTAGATCGTCTTCGCGAGGCTCGTCTATCTATCAATCTCAAGAAATGCAAATTCGCCAACAATAGAATCTCTTTCCTCGGCTATGTAATTTCACCTGACGGACTCCATACTGACCCTGAGAAAATTCGAGCTGTTGCTGATTTTCCCACACCTTCCAATATCGAAACCTTACGCTCCTTCCTCGGACTAGCTGGGTACTATCGAAGCTTCATTGGTCAATTCTCTATCCTTTCTGCCCCTCTGAACCAATTACTCAAGAAAGATACTCCTTGGGAATGGTTACCTGAACACCAACGAGCATACGACGTTCTCAAACATAAGCTCATCTCTGCTCCCGTGTTACGCTTTCCAGACTTCTCTGTCCCTTTCGAACTTCATACCGACGGTGCTTGTACCGCTGGGATTGGTGTCATTTTATGTCAACGTGATTCTCGCAACAACAGGGCCTACGCAGTTTCTTTTGCTTCTCGTTCTTTGTCTCCGGCTGAAAAGAATTACGGTGTTTCGGAAGTTGAAGCTCTTGCTATTGTTTGGGGAATAAAAAAGTTTGCTCATTATCTAACAGCTACTAAATTTACAGTCATCACAGATCACCAAGCACTCCAGACTCTTCAGAACAAGAATACAGATCTTCGTGGTCGTTTAGGACGCTGGGCTCTCAGTCTACAACAACATGACTTCAAAATTGTCTATCGTCCTGGTACGAAAAATGCTGGTCCCGATGCCCTTAGTCGTTACCCTGTGGCCACTCCAAATGGTTCCCACGATATTTTATGCAACCTGTCGTCTAACGATTTCATCAACGCACAACTCAATGATGCTTTCTGTCAAGAGATTCAAGCCCAAGATCCACTTCCAGCCCAGTACTCGATCGAGTCCGGTGTCCTCTTCTTTTCTTCCCGACCCGTACTTCCGCAAGCATTATGGTTAGAAACGTTCGAATTGTTACATGCAAATCCTACAACTGGTCATCTCGGTGTTGGTCGAACTCTACAACGATTCAGTCGACTATACTATTTTCCAGGTCAAAAACAATGGGTTCAGGATAAGGTAAATACATGTCAAGTCTGTCAGAAAGTCAAACGGTCACACACAACACTGGGTTCTACAAGTCTTGTACACTCAAGTCCATCTTCACATCCCTTTGACACAATCGCGATTGACTCTTTTGGTCCTCTTCCGGTATCCAAGATGGGTAATAAATACATTATCGTGATCCAGTGCATGTTTTCAAGGTATGTTATCATCACGGCGGTGCCTGAGAATACCGATAAGCAAGTAGTCAAATGTTTAAGCAAGGTCATTTCTGAACATGGAATCTTCCGCCAAGTGCTTAGTGATAACGGACAACCATACGCCGGTACTCTGCTGAAATCGCTATGTTTACATCTGTCAATTAAACAGAAATTTGCCCAGCATACCATCCTCAGTCCAATGGTCTCGTCGAAAGGTTTATGGCTACTCTCAGAAACTTGATCGTATCCTTCATGGACCTGGATTATCAACAAACCACTTGGGATGAACACTTAAACGAGTTTCAATTAGCCTACAATTCAAGCATCCATGACTCTACTAAATTCTCACCATTTTCTCTGGTACATGGTCGTGAATCTCGAACTTTAGCTTCACCGGATTTTGGGGTCAAGTCTATTCCAGCTCAAGAATACCAACAACAAGTAAAACAGTTCCTTGGTCGTGCACTAGCTCTGGTTCAACTGGAAAACAACGCAACACAGGCCAAGAACGCGACAAGCTTCAATGAGCATCGACAAGAACCGGGTCTCACTCTTGGGAGTTTGGTACTCATTGATTTTCCGGTACAATCTAGCGCTGCTGGTAAAAGGTCTGCTAAACTGGTTCGTTCATTTCGAGGTCCTTTCAAGATCGTCAAGATTTTATCCGCTGACCGATTCGACGTGCTGGAATTGGAAAACAACAAGACTTGGTACAATGTGCATTCCAGTAGAATGAAGAAGTATATTCAAGAAGACAATTCCATTGCTTCTCTCTTAACCCCCCGGATGTCGTGAGCCTAGATGTCATCACTTGACTAATCGGTGTTATAACTTAACACATACTAAATTAGACAGATCAAAGAAGCCAACGCTAAATTAGTATAACTTAGCGTTGACATTAGTTAGAAACTAATATAGTATAATATTCAATTCATATAAAAACCCTACACAAAAATACAATAAAACATTATCTTTATTTTCATCAAAAATCTCGTTAATAAGTTTAGCTACGAAGGAATTTAACTACAAATTCCTATCCCTATAAACTATCAACCAATCATCTGGTATCACTTTAACGACCGACTTCCCTCTTATTTTATTAGGCTATGATGTAGTTTAAAAGAAACAAATCCAACATTACCTGATAAATTAGGCTATGATGTAGTTTAAAAGAAACAAATCCAACATGACCTACAAATCCAAGTTTAAAAGAAACAAATCCAACATGAACTACAAATCCAAGTTTAAAAGAAACAAATCCAACATGACCTGATAAATTATTGAAGAAGAATGCTAGATAAAATACATTAATCACATAAATATGGGGGGGATGCCAGTTTTTTTTTTTTTTTTTTTTTTTATATATTATTTTCTTTTACCAACAAACACAACAAAACTCATTATGAACCAAGACTTTGATGTTAACGCTATTGGTGATTTCATTGAGTATCCTGAGATCCCTCCTGCTACTACAGCGCCACCTGTAGCACCTTTGTTTACAAGTCTGGCAGACGTGGAGGGTCATATGCGGGGTGTGATCAACGCTATCGATGGCCTGTATGGGGAGGATGGTTTGGCAGTAGTGGCAAACGTTCTCGAACAAGCTCGTGCAAAATATGTACCCCACCGACTTCAAGCTGCAGTGGATCGTATTAAGGCGGAAAAAGAAGGCATGCCCGCCGTGAACACGGTCGGTCGGACGGTGGAAGAGGTGTCTGCTTCGTTGGCTGGCTGGCACCGTCTTTGTGCTGCTGCCCCAAAGCCCCATAAGTGTATGTACTGGGTGGAGTTATTAACGATGATGAAAAGCGACCCGGTGAATTGGTTGCTTTGGGGTTCACTGTTGGTGACCATGTTAGGCTGGAAGAGATCCAAATACTTCCGTATCATGAGAGCTTTACGTCGCCTAGACTGGATGGTTGAACATGTGGGCCTGTCGGGCGCTCGTCTCATGATTGAGAAAGTACAATTTGATTTTGTTGAGGGTTCTGCAAACCGAGACTGGGAGGATTGGACGGCGGTGATTCGTACTGACGAGGACATTGAGTTCATGAAGACGGTGGATTGCTAGCTTTTTTTTTTCTTTCTTTAAATATACCTTATTTTCTTTATATCAGTATTAAAAACCCGGATGTCATTGCTATCATTTATCATAAAAAAAGGAACTATCATTATAAAAAAATAGTGTGTATTATATTGAAAAAGATTATTTTATTGTTGAACGCAACGGGGTGCTTGAGTATAAAAAAAAAAAAGAAAAGTTATTGCATTTCTGCATCTTGTGGCGGGGTAGTAGTAGGTGGTGGTGGTGGTGGTGGTGATGGGATAATCAAGGCGGATGCATCCATGTTCACATTCAAGTTAACAGGTGGGTAGGTACCCAGAACAACTTCTTTAACCGTGCTTGTTCTTGTTCCAGGGCGCAAACTACCTCTGGTTTCAATGGTGGCATCTTGAATTGAGACTGGTGGAGCCATTGCCCCGGGTCCTTGAATGATAGTGTCGGTGTATAGCTTGTCATGAAGTTTGATCAATTGCTCGGCAAACGCAACCTTATCGCCACGTGAGCTTTGTATATCTTCCCAATGTTGAAGACAATAGAGATGAATCAAGAATTCGAGCTTGGGTGATGATGGGTACACCACGGGAAAATCCAAGTGTTTATAGGTGTGATTCGAGTGATCATTTTAACACTTATTTAAACACCTAAAGAAAGTGTTTTGCGCCAATTTTTTGAGTGATTTCCCCCGCTTAAAGAATGGTTAAAATCACTTCAATATCACTTTAATATAACTTAAAGCCACCTATTTTACACACCCTAATATCACTTTTATACAACTCATTGTCACCTATACAGCGCACACCTTAATATCACCTTAGATCTACCTTAAAATCACTTTAGATCCACCTTAAAATCACTTTAGATCCACTTTAATATCACTTTAGATCCACTTTAATATCACTTTAGATCCACCTTTATATCACTTTAGATCCACCTTTATATCACTTTAGATTTCACTTTAAAACTACCTAAATATCACTTTAAAATGAACATTTTTACAGTTATAAAAAACTTTATTTGAAGAAAAAACATTATTTGGAACTTGTGGGAAAGTACTGTTGTCAATACAGCTATGCAACAGCAAGAATCGTTCACTATCATTGGAAAATATGACATGTTAATAATACTATCAAAATGGTTATATAGTAAGCCTTACATTACATTATTGGTTAGAAGCCGAGTGCCGTCTCTTACGGTTTTTGTTCATTTTTGAGGGAGCCTTGTTTGACCAGCAGCTCTGTAACATGAAGTAAATGGCCCAGTTATCTTTACAACAATTGACAATGTCTGTAATGTTTAAAAGATGAGCTTCCCTGGAGGCTCTTGATATTAACTCCTTCTTGGTAACACCAGATAACGTTTTCCAAGGTACATATTCATCCATGCTTGACCTCAGGACAGGATTACAAATGGAATTAATATCCTTGCTTAGCAGACGATACATACCTTCTGCTGTTTCGGGCTGGCCAAAAGAATTCAACAGAAAAATTCCGCTATCGCTATTCTTTAGTATGTTAATGATATCAGTAACATGAACAGTTTCTGGCTTTTTGATCAAGTCAATCTCTTCATAATTGACTTGCATTTGATCTTGACCGCTATTTGGAAAAACGTTCTGGGGACTTGTAGTAGCTATTTTACCCAAAATGGTTTCTAATCGATCGAATCTTTCGTTAAAACTTTTTATGGCTGAATTTTGCTCTGCGATGATAGTTCCTTCCAACTTCTCTATTTTTCAAGCACAATATTTACCCATGCAGGTTGTCTAGACATATTGATGGAAATTTTTAGTTGGTATTTTATTTAAAGTAGAAAAAAGAAAAAAAACCCCCCACGTCTATTTCGGAATTTCATTGTTATTGTTATTGTTATTCTTTTGGATGGCTTATGTTTGCTCTATTTAGAAAAATATGTTAACTGAAATCATGATTCATGATGGGAAACCCTATTTTAAACCGCGAGTGCCGCAATATTTGGAATCCCTCTTCTTTCACATTTAATTATCTATTAACGAAAAATATGCGTTGCGATACTTGCCCAAACAGACCATACGTTCGTACTCGCGATATAGAATCTCATAAAAGAAAGCACAAAAATATGGATTTGGAAATCGAAATGAAGGTTAATATCATTAGACGACGACTAAATATAACAAATGACAGCACTGCTGAGTCATGCGTCAATGGTTTGCCCGTAGAAGAACCTGCCAATATTCCTGATCTTGAATATGGTATGACTGACGATGACAATTTTGATCCCGTTCCCGCTTCTGGTATTGCTTATATGGATATCAACGCTGCAACTGAATTAGAAAATTTATATGAAAGTGATAGTGGAAGCGACTCCGACATCATTCTCGAACGTAGCACTATTTTAGATACAGAATACAGTAGATACATGACCGATAGTGAAAGTGATATTGAAAGTGATGCTGATATTCAAGACTCAAATTATTCCAAGAATCAGTTAATAAAGTACTCTGAAATGGCAGTCAAAGGTGATCCTGAGGAGCTATCTGCAATTCGTGATTGCAATTTGGAAACATTGGATGATAAAAAAAGTTTTGAATTTCATGCATTGATGGAAAAGTTGAATCTGAAAAGATTTCAGAAAGAAGAGATCATCAGATGGATCAATGAAAACTACAATGATACTCATCATAATCAGAGTAAGCCTTTTTATGCGTATTCACTACATCATTACATGATAACTAATTCTTCTGTAAATTAGACGTGGCAGAAAAATTAAAGTCCACTTATTTAAATAAAAAACAAATCAGTGAAACGGTACAGCTGAAAGAAGACGTTCACGGCATGTGTGTGAATGGGTGCCAAATGTTCATCGCCGAGGATCAAGAAATGTGTTCTCACTGTGAGGAACCCAGGTTTCAACTAAACGACAACAGCGTGTTAGAAGCTCGTCAAAAAGAAAAGCTTCTGGACATTGACGATTTCATTGCTTCATACTTTGTCTCTGACAAAAGCATGAGATCATTGTTGCACAGATCGGAGAAGGTCCAAACAAGCGACGATATTGTAATGGAAGACTTTTTTGACGGCAAAAAGTACCAAGAGCTTTTAAGAAAAAATTGCTTTCAAAACCAGTATGACATCGCCCTGGCGTTGTATATAGATGGATTTGTTCGTGGCCAAAGAGGAAACCAGAGCCTCACCATTGTCAAAGCTGTGAACATGAACTTAAGTCTCGATGAAAGGTATTTTAAAGATTAAAATAATTCCATCAAAAATACTAATTGTCATTGTCTGTTACAGAGCAAAAAAAGAAAATCAATTTGTTGTCTGCATCATCAAAGGACCCAAAAAACCAAAAGATATCTATAGCTTCTTATATCCTTTATTAATGAAGTTAATTAAAATGGAGTCTGCTGGTGTGATTGTCAAGGCTCACGACAACCAAAAAAATCACATCACACTGTGAAACTTTTTATCGGTCCAATTTTTTAAAAAAAAATGAAAAAGTTAGACCGGCGGTAACGGTCCAAAAATTGGACCGATTTTATAAAAAATCGGTCGCATTTTTGGACAGATTTTGTAAGAAATCGGTCGCATTTTTGGACCGATACTGATGATTACAAACGATGGTTTTGGCAAATAATTCTATTGGATAATAATACAGTTTACGTATTCAGTTCACGAGTTGCTATCCTTGTAAATCCAAAAATTTAGACATCATATATTGAATAAAAAAAAGACATTTTATTGAAAAAAAAAAGAAAAAGAAAAAAAGAGCCACAAATGTTTGAATAAATAAACGCATAGATTGGTTTTACAGATGAAAGACGAAACTAACCCGCCCATACCAACTTATTGAGCTAGTAGTTACAACTGTTATAGACAAACGCGTCTGGGCGGTACTTACCTATAATAAGAACTAACGTTAATAACGAGTATAAAAAAGATAAAAAAACACATCATACCTTAATAAAGAAACAGGTCGTCCGGGTCTAAATTTACAAGCAGTAAACGTACAGTAAATCTATAGACATATATTGATATTAATAACAGGAATGAAGGTGACTATAGCGATAAATCTTACCTCGAAAAGAATGTAGTTCATCTACCATGAACGCAAACACAATATTTATTATTCATAAACTACATCAAACAGAGTTACATAACTGTAAAAGATTAATTTTATGTTAAATTATGGTATCAATTATTATACATACTATTTCATGGTCATTTGTCAAAAAGAAAACAGAAAAAAGGAAAAAAAGAAAGAAAAAAAATATTAGATTTATAAATAATGATTTTTTAAACTCAATAGATATTACGTACAGGAACGGTACACACAAACATAGAGTACTCTTCCAGTGCGTTTGATAGGTATTTTCGATGACCCTTTGACCACTCTTTTGTTTCCTATAACTTGTCTCTTTACAAGATGGAAAAAATGGGGAAACTAGAAAGAAAAATCTAAGAAGGAGGGTGATTTCAATAAAAAGTGTTGCGGCTATTTATTGAGTGGTAAAAATTTGGACATAAAGCCCATGGCTTTTAATACTATAAACATTTTATTTGTAATATATATGTGACAAAAAAAAATGTCAATACTTTGTCATAGAGACATTTAAAAAGTGAATATGTTTTGATAGTTATTCGTCCGTTAAAACTAGCGAAGAAGTGAAAAAAAAAAAAAAAAAAAAAAAAAAAAAAAGCGTAAGTCAATTGAAAGCACGATACAAAAAAAGCCTAATCGTGTAACACCAAACGCGTAATGAACAAGATACACTTTTTGACCCCCTGTTGCGGTCACCGTATTAACTTAATAAATTTTTTTTAATCATATAAGTTATATAGGTATCGTAATATATGTTTATTAAACTACAAAACTCGATTTTGCAGTGATTTTCATTTTTTTTAAAAATCGGTATCGGTGCAATCTTTAAAAAAGACCGCCGGTATCTGTAATTTCTAAAAATTGCACCGATACCGGCGGTATCGGTCCAAAATATGTTTAGACCGGTAAAAAGTTTCAGGGTGTCAAGGTGTATACTTGTCTGTTTCTCGGCGATATTCCTGCCATGGCGGATACTTTGTTTCACACTGGCCATACAAGCAAATATGGTTGTAGAATATGTGATATCATGGGTAGTAGTAATGATGGTAAAGGGATGTACTTTAGTCATAAAATTTGGACAATGCAGTAATTAGAAGCAATGAAAGTTTTAAATCAGTAGACGAGCGGGTATCTGGGGTAAATGCGACGACAATACTAGTATTCGGCCACTATGACTAATATTTAATTTTATTTGATAACATCAGTTTGAAAACAAAGGGATCACGAAGGTTACTCCTTTGACCGGATTTACCTCGTTTTCGGCAACATTCGCTGGTCTTGACGAGCTTCATTTGATTGGGCATAACGTATCTAAGCAAATTTGGAAATTTATTTCTGATGACGATAGAAAATATGGTAACAATAACCCATTTCTTTTTGGCAAAATGTCATAGAAAAACGCTTGGAATAGCCATGGAAAATTTAGGTACAACTTGCAGAACGAATATTTTTGAAGGGGCATTTTTAAGTATGTAATTGAATTACCCCAGTAAAACAAAAATCGCTAAAGGGAATATTGGTCACATAGATTTGAACACTCGTGGTGGGTATGGACGTGCAGTTGACTGGCAAATGTTTATCTTGTTTCTGGTTCCTACCATTGTTTGTGATATGATAAATATGCAGGCTAATGATAATAAGAGGTATCTAAATACTCCTGGTAGTAGCTTGCGCAGAACTCAATCGTTGATTGGTGACAGTTATGAGCAACATAATTTGGAGATTGAAAATCGATGCAGAGATACTGTTAGTGCTCTTAAAAATTTGTCCAGTGCTTGTGCAATTGCTTTGCAATATAAAATCAGTCAAACAGATATCAGCGAACTCAAAAGGTTAGTTACAATTAGATAAAGGTTTAAAAATACTTAAACCCAATTTTTTTAATATTTGACGGTATTCAGTAAGCTGCAGATATGGATGGATTTTGTCGGAAACACAGACAATATGACACCAAACGCAGTAACAATTAGCCAGCATTATCTATCACATATACCATATGTGATTGAGGAGCTTGGTCCTATGCGCTCGTTCAGTTGTCGACCTTTGGAACGCATGATTGGTATAGTTAAGCAGAAGATAGGGTCATTCTCCAAACCAGCGGAGAATGCATACCAAATCATTCGTACTTTGGCAGAGCAATCTTTTTTGTCCAGAAAAACACCAGCTTGCTCCAAAACATCGCTTACTGGAATCATATAGGCAAAGCTAACTCGGAGCATCGGCGTATTGCTGAATTCAGGCACCTTGGTGCCAACTTCCTTGAACAAGTTGAACTACAAGTTCAATGCGAGAAAATTCGAGTTGTTCAAAGTATCACAATGACGGGAAGAGGGTGCAAGCAATTTTGTGCATCAACACTAAAAAAAAATTCCAGCATGTTCCTCGCACACTTACCCATTAGTAATTTCGGTGGAACTGAGAAGTACTATGTCGTTCAGCTGGAGTTCATGTTTGTAGCAAAGCCGTTACCAGTTGCGAACATGTTGAACAATGATGTTTTTGCTTGGGCTAGAATATGTTCCAATATTGAGTCAACTGTTGACGGGAATACTGTTTTATTTTATACTACTAGTTCCAACAGCATGCCACTTGCTGCAGAAAGGGATCATATGAGAGTTCTGATTAACACCAATAATATCATCAGTCCCATAACAACAATACCTTCACCAATAGAAGAAAATAAGCACTACCTTGTTTGGCCATCTATGTCATTTAAAAAAGATGTGTGTATAAGCAATACGCCGTTTTGGTTTTAAAAACAAAACGTAACACGCATATATCAGACTTACTAAATAATAATAAAAAAATATTGCAAATGTTAACAGTTGTTGGAACACCCCTGAACACCTCAAACGCAAGTGATAAAAACAAGCTCTTATTTTAACACTCATTTGTCACCTTATTTAAAAGTGACCGAATTCACCACCTATTTAATTACCTTTTAACACCTTTCTCTCAAGTGATAACAATTAACACTTATTTTAACACTTATTAGTCACCTTTACCAAAAGTGACGAAATTTAACACTTATTTTAACACCTTTTAACACCTTCATTCTAAGTGATAGAAATTAACACTTATTTTAACACTTATTTGTCACCTTTATTTAAAGTGATGGCGAAAAACACCTGAATAAACACTCAAAGTCACTCAAAGTCACTTATTTATTAATTTCATCACTTATTTTTTCCCGTGGTGGTAGGCTGTGTCATTAACTTCAATGGCGTCGGTAGGTGTCGTGCTGCGATCGACTACGACCGGACGTAACAAGGAAGGACTTACTCTAATACTTAGGATTGCACGGGTAGAGGTTTGGGAAATATAGGCCGAAGCCGAAAAGACACCTGTCACGTGGTGGTAGCTTCCAGCCACCATATTTTTAATCATGTAGTGTATCATTTGAATCGCGTTGGTATAGATGGTGAAGCTGATGCCAGCCATGGAAAGACGACAGCTGGCACTGACACGGGTACCATCTACCTTAACATTGCAGTTATCATAAACGCGGGATAGTGGAGCGTTTATTTCCATTGTTCAAGTGGTGACGAGAGAAAGTAGTAAAAAAAAAAATTTGAAGAAAGAGAAAGTGGTAAAAAGAAAAAAGATAAAGTAGTAGAAAGAATAAAGATGTCTTGTCAATTGAAGAGAGAGAGAGATAGAGTAGTAAAAAAGAAAAAAGTAGTATAAAAGTAGTATAAAAGTAGTATAAAAGTAGTATAAAAGTAGTATAAAAGTAGTATAAAAGTAGTATAAAACGGAAAGAGATGAAAAAAAAAAGAAATGAGAAAAGGGGGGGGGGCGTGGGGGATGGGGTTGACTTTTATAGTCAAATCAAATCCCATGAGTCCCATAGGAATGGCGTGAGTCCAATAGGACTATAGGAATACTCTGACCGGTTTTCAAATGAGAGCCAGTCACACTAGGTATCACACAGCTTTGTTTTTCCTGAACCAAAGCGGTGATGAGAAAAACGCCTGTTTTTTCTTCTTTACCTTTTTCGCAATTTGCACACACACACATACACACACAGACACACACACACAGACACACAGACACACACAGACACACACAGACACACACACACACACACACACAGACACACAGACACACACAGACACACAGACACACACAGACACACACAGACACACAGACACACAGACACACACAGACACATATTACTATGGATCGTGAATTCGATAAACGCCGAAACGAACTTCATGTGATTTTCACTGCTTTCTGCCATGGTGAAGCTGGATAGGGATGTGGGGGGGGGTGTGAATCGATAAGAAGGGTGTGTGAGTTACTGACAATGTTATTTTTTGGGGTGGCTGTAGATTATGGCCCACAGGCTTCTTCTGCTATTACCCGCATGTTAACCGATAATGACTTTTTTTTTCTGGCCTAGAGCCATTGCCCGTAAATGAAGGTTATCTCTGTATGAGCTATAACCAGTTGAGAGCTCAAATGAGCCAAGTACCTCTGCCGGTGCGATATGGTAGGAATGACAGCAAAAAAAAAAAACATAAGGGGTAATATCGAACTAACAGGAAAGTTAAATTAGTGGACCAGGTAGAGGATGACGAACTTTTGGGGACTCCCCTCCACCTGCTGCTCCTCCTGCTCCTCCTGTCGTGGCTCCTCCTGTCGTGGCTACTCCTGTCGTGGCTCCCGAGGCGGCTATTCCCCCTCCCCTTGTTGGTGAGGTTCCTCGTTTGATTTTGCCCCCTCTCCTCGCTCCCCATGACTACTTCGCACGTCAATATGAAGGTAAGTTTGTCACAATGGTAATGGTTTATGGAAAAAAAGTAACATGCATCTCATGTCGTCTTTCTATCTCTAGTGGCCAACCGGTTTCTTAATTACCCCGGTGCTCTTGTCCAAGCGGTTTCAAATACAGCAGAGGCCATGGGCATGCCTGTTGCCGAGGTGGCCAGAGGTGAGTTAGAGCTACATTCGGTGGTGACCGAGCACATCTTTTTGCTACGAAACATGACCGCATCCCAGGTTCGAAACCTTCTTCTGGCATTGATCCTGTACTTGACTAATGACAACGTGCGCAATGTACGCCAGCTTGCTTGTAAGTCGTTTGTGTGGATGATGTTTTTAAAATCAATCCCATCTTAACTTATCTTTATCATGTGAAGTGCTGCACTCCGACCACCCAACTCGGGTAGAGTTGGAATCGATTCGACTGGCGTTGAAACTGGGGGCATTTCTTTTTCCTTTGGTCCAGGAGGTGGGGATCACCGTGTTGTTGTTGGTGGACTTGCTGCCGCCGGCAAAATTAAAAAAAGCGCCAGCGGCCATATATCTGGACACGCTGAACTTACGAGAGCTGTTTGGAAATGAAAGGTTGCCTTTGGTGCCTGCCTTTGGGGCACATGAATTGTGGGCGTACTATGTACGATTTTTTTAAAAATAAAGCTTTTTTTTTATGAAAGATCTTGACAATGCGTGAGAGAGTGAGTGACAATGTGTGAGAGAGTGGCAATGCGTGAGTGACAATGCGTGAGAGAGTGACAATGCGTGAGAGCGTGACAATGCATGAAAGAGTGACGAGTGACAATGTGTGAGAGCGTGACATTGCGTAAGAGAGTGCCATTGCAAAAGATCTTCACAAGAGAAATTGATTGTATGCTTACCAAGAAAGATCTTATCACACTTTGACAGGACCTACGTTTATCTCCATAGCATCAACTAGGTGCACTACATGCACTACAACTGGGGAACCCGACATATAAAAAAGAACTAATTTGCAAAAAAAAGTTGTTGGAGTTTAACATAAAAAAAATTAAAAAAATTACAGCAACCAGTATTCCCACCATAGTACTGACTGGTCCAGATATTGCTTAACTGCGGAGATCGGACGGGATCCGGTGTTTTCAATATTGTATGGCCGTAACTTATTTTTCATGTAATTAAAACAGCCTTAACACTAAAAAAATATTTATAATGCCAAAAAATACTTTTTGATAGACCAGACACCATACTTTTCAACAGAAAACAACAAAAAAAAAGGTTTTGCAAACCAACCACCAAGCAACCACTAACAAACGAAGCAACGAAGTGAATGTAACATTGTTGAGCCGATAACACTAGTCAACCCAAACATTAAGACAATTAACAACCATTTGCCAACATTTGCCAACATTTGAAGCAGCTAAAACGCAACGATTAAGACCTATCAGTGGTAGTGGTAGAAGTGAGGGTGATGGTAACAACAACAACAATAACAACACCGGTAATGGTACCTGGAAGGATTACTTTATCAGCCTTGTGGAAGGAGGAGATATCGAGATGACAGAAGGGGGTGAGGTACCAGAGACGATGACAGTCAAGCGTATCCGTGAGTATGAAGGCATGTACAATACCCCCTTAACCCCTCCGCAAGACCTCATCTTTCGGCAAGTTGTGCATAATCCCACCGCGACGTACCACTTTGTGATTGGAGCTGCCGGCACCGTAAAATCCTAGTTGCTGGCGAAATTGCATACCTAATACCGTCAACAGGGCTCACAGCAAAAAACATTATGTCCGATATGTCGTATAATAGTATTTTGATGTCTTTTTGATGTCATTTTTTTCAAGCGACATAAAAAAATAAGTCTCTTTTATGGAGGAGCACAAAAAATAATTTAATGAAATAGAAATTCTATGTCGGCCGCAAAAAGAACATGTGTTGTATGACAATTTATTGACCAGGGACATAAAAGTAATATTAATATTATGGTCGCTTTCAAAAGGACACAAAATATATGTCTCTCATACGTTCTTTAAAGATATGTTTTTTTTCGAGGCTGTATAAAAAAAAACTGATGGTATTTATTGTTTAAATGATAATTAGAGCCAAAAATATAGAAATCTACTAAAGGCTTTAACTTTTGCAAGGCACTGTGCTATATGTATCACAATAAATTAATCATAGTTAACGCATACTGTATATTCGCAAAATTATACAAAACTGTTGAAGGGCATCAAGAATAAACGATTAATCATATTTGAGTAGGCTTTGGATCAAAATTACATAACAAGATACTTCTTTTTCGGGAATGATTCGATAATTGTACGCAACCTGATCGATTAGCTTTTCGGTAGTGTCCAAATTTCGACATACTTTTGTCTGATTATGTGAATCAGTTATGAAAGGGATCTCTCTAACAAGGAATATCGTTGTCTCGTTAGATTTCCAAATGCTGTACACTACACCAACTATTTTTTTCAGTGGCCACATCGAAAGTAACTATTCTTGAACTACCCAATTGATTTATATTTATCCTTAATTGTCGAGAATCTTGTAATCGTTTGTATCCTCCAAACAAAGTAACCAGCATATTCATGTCAAAATCTTGGCCGTAATACTTAAAAGCAGCCCTTTTTTATACGCGTTGTTCCCAATAATATCTTTTAAATTGCAGGTCTTCTGTTTTAAGTAGAATGATCCTGATTCAAATTTATCTTCTAGTTGGATGATAGCTGTTTCAGTATATTTCGCCTGTATGTCCTCAGCCAAAAAGTTATTAATGCATTCAGACGGCTTCGGTGATGATCTGATTGAACTCTTTATCATTCCAATGCTCCTTTCTAAACACCTCGCGCTGGCATAACGCATGGGCCCTAACTCTCTGATCGTATCAGCGACATGATTTTGATAACGTTGATTGATAGTAGAAACATTAATGTTTTGAGAGAAATTAGCTTTTAAAAAGTATTGCCATTCAATAATACAACTTGATAAATATTTAGTACTGTATATGTATCAAAGGCTAAAAGTATGTACACGTACTTTTCTATCTCTTCAATGTCTAGATGTGAGATCGATTTTTTTAAGCATAAAAAGCAAGCTCTTGATATTCTACTTAGTGCTTTTTTATACTTAAGTTCTCTTCATTGAAACGTGTACCAGGGCGTTGCTTTTCATACATTTCTGGCAAGATGGTAGGCACAACATATAGTAGAAATTGTATCCAGTCGACACCTCTGCTATATCCAGATTTACAAGAGATATCTACACAATATCATTAATTATTATTTATACTTACTTATAAATATGGCATGTTCGATAACCGATAAATTTGCCTGTCAGCATTTTTGACTCAGAGATCTGTAGCTTTGCCATATGCGAGTCTAATTCAACTCTAAATCGCTTCTGCAAGAACAAGATATTTTTCCACCCGTGTGGTGATCTGCTATATTGTTGCTACATTAAATAAATCCATATCTATGACATCAATACATTAAGAATGATTAAGGAATCAATTACCCAATATAGATAGTTAGTACTATCATATCACAAGGTTACAAGAACACAGTGACTAAGGCTTACTAAAGATATGGAAGTACAATGTGTCTAAGATGACAGTAATTCCAAGTGTAACATATTTACAAAATAAGCAGTTAAAAGTAACAGGATACACACTGGGAAAATGATAACAACTTCAAAGATACACTAAAGATAGTGGTACAGCAGATAGTCTTTTTTATATAAATACTTGTTCATTTTATTTCATAATAAAGACAATCTTATAAGCAGT